CTTTCCAGTCCTGGAATTTTTCCTCGTACTTCTTCTCTGCTGCTTTCTGAGCTTCCTCGGGCGAGATCTCCTGGACCTTCGCATTGTCATATCTCCGAATAACACGCTGGACGGCCATAGACGCCTCTTCATCTTCCTCCTCCTCACTGTCGTCATCCTCGTTGGCAGGAAGCTGAAGTCTAATGAATCGGTCTCCATGTTCGTCCGCAACTGTGGTCCACGGTAGTCGCAGGTCGTCTGCAAGCTGTTCTACAAACTTGCGATCACGAGCTGGAAGTGTGGGCGGAAGATCTAGAGGCTTTGAACCTGATGCCTTCTCAGGCCTGTTCAAAACATACTTTTTGACTTCTTTGAAAAGCTCCTTCTGGGCTGGCGTGAGTGTCAAGCCCTTTGGCTTCTCTTGGGGCTCAGAACCGTTCTCAGCGCCATTCCGTTTGGCGTTGATCCACCTCGCGTCAGAGTATTCGACTTCAAAAAAGCGAAACTCAACATCACTCAAAGCTTCAATAAGCATACCGAGGCGCTCCAGGTTGATGACACCTTGCTCGTTGACGTAGCCGCCCATTTTTGGCAAGACCTCCTTGTAGATCTTAAACATCAGCGAGAGGGCTCCCTCGTTAATGTGCAGATTAGGAAGATTAGGCAAGAAATCGTTTCCAACGAAGAAAGCCATCAGGATAAAGTCGTCGATGACTCTTTCCATATCAAAGGGAAAACCCAGAACTCCTTCCTGCTCCAATTCCTGAAATTCCAATTCAAGATATTCCCGGACCATACAAAGATGCAAGAGGTAGAAGTTTTGGTGCTCAAGTTCCTTAGACTTCTTCTGGACTTGGCGGCCAAATGTCACCTCCTCACGAAGTAGACAGAAATGAGGATCATGACTGAGAAGACCCAACATGATCAAGTCCGCATCAAGACCATAGAGACAGTGACGGATATTGGGGTCATAACCTGGCTGTGCTTTCGCATGCCGGATATACTCCATGATCTTATGTTCACCTTCTCCCGGTACCTCATGGCCCGAAAGCACAATATCTACCCCTTGCCAATCTTTGTCTTCCGAGATTTTCTTGTTGATGAAATACTTCAATTGTTGTGTCAGCTTCGCCATGAACTCCGTACCGGGAGTGATGCAGTTGCTGTCGAATGGATCCTCTTTCGGCATCTCGATTCCCTGGGTGATGGCCTTCTCCTTTGCAACCTCAGCATCCAGAGCTGTTCTAAACCGTCTGGCACGCTGTTGATTCATCTTCGCGCGAGGAGCGACACCGTCAACCGCCATGAAGAAGAGCTTCCTTGGCTTGATCTTGCCGTACAGATGCTCGATATAGTTGAAGATCGCTATGAACATCTTATCCTCCGTCATGCGAAATGTGGGAGAATCGCTATCTTTATGTGTACAATTATGAATAATACCATTCATGTCGAGATACAGCGCATCAAATTCAGGTATCCGATTCTCCGCAATCAACATGGAGATCGTGGGGTAGCGCTCGCTGAGCCAGCGGAAGAACTTGGGAACACCCATGGTGAATGAATGCGAAGTATATCCTAATAAGAATGAGGCAGGTTAGTCAAATCAGGCGCGGCAGCGTCGTAGACTGTTGTCGTCGTTGTGGTCGTAGCTGGTCGTCAAAACTCAATGAAGAACCCAAGCTCGGAGGCAAACCATTCACTGAATGGTAATAGTCGTAGACAAAAAAAGGAACGACTGGGTATCTTCAGGGAATGTAAGACACAAAGACGAAAAAGAAAAGGGAAAAAAGACTAGCACTGGAAGCTTAGAAAAGCGAAATAGGCGGCGGAGGCCTTTTCTGGAGGAATAGCAGTTCAATGCGATGATTATAAGTCTGAAGCAGTGACTCCTCCAAGTGACGCTCTCCGACCTTTAGAGCCCTCCGAGGCCATCCCGCCAAGCCGCTATTCCTAGAATGGAATGGCTGACTACGGCGCCAATTAACGCGCTGCCGATGGGAAGGTCGCGTTTCTCAAGTGTGAGAGCTCGATCCACAAGTCAAAGCTCTACTACACCCCCATTGAAGCTCCTATACCTTGCCAATTACCCTATAATTCCCTTTTGCGCAGGCTGAATCAGTCTGTCTGGACTTCGGAAACTATCGTGCAGATTATTACCGCACCCACGGGACATCATGGAGCCCTACGACGACGGTACACCCTCCATATTACCTTTCTTTGTGCGATAATCACTGACCTCTTTCGTCGTAGCTATTGTTGAGGAGCATGAGGAGCAGGAAGAAGAGCGTACCGAGGAGAAGATTATCAATGAAGGTATTCTAGACCGACTGACTGGCGTCGCTTTCGTGGTGGCTAATGCGGACCTTGATCAGAATACAAAACATGGAAGAAGAACGCACCTTTTCTTTATGACATGATCCTCAGCACAGCGCTAGAATGGCCCACGCTCACAACACAATGGCTTCCTGATAAGCAAGAGTGTGTTCATCATTCATCTGCTTCGCGCGCAACAATAGGCTGACTCTGCTTCAGGGTCCCGGATAAACCGTACTCTACTCATCGCCTGCTGATCGGCACACACACTTCTAGCGATGCGCAAAATTATTTGCAAATTGCTCATGTCCAACTTCCCAACCCATCTTCTCCCAATCCAGACGACTACGATGAGGAGCGCGGGGAGATCGGAGGGTATGGCAGCAGCTCTAAGAAGGCGCCCATGGAAATCAAGTTCAACATTGTGCAGAAGATTGATCACAAGGGTGAAGTCAACAAGGCCCGGTATCAGCCACAAAACCCCAACATAATCGCTACCATGTGCACAGACGGCAGGGTCATGATCTGGGATCGCTCGAAACACCCGAGTCTGCCAACGGGCCAAGTCAACCCTCAGATGGAGCTCATTGGCCATACGAAAGAGGGATTCGGTCTCAGTTGGAGTCCGCATACTGCAGGACAACTCGTTACCGGTAGCGAGGACAAGACAGTCCGAATCTGGTGAGAAAGATATATTCACTCTATCTGCGCTGGTAACTGACCATTCGACACAGGGATTTGACGACGTACTCAAAGAACAATAAGCTACTGAAGCCTTCCAGAACTTACACTCACCATTCATCCATCGTCAATGACGTTCAGTATCATCCTCTTCACTCGTCCCTTATTGGCACTGTATCCGATGACATCACTCTTCAGATTCTCGACATTCGAGAAGCAGAGACAACTCGTGCAGCTGCATCTGCAGAGGGCCAACATCGCGATGCCATCAATGCCATAGCTTTCAACCCCGCTGCCGAGACCGTTCTAGCAACCGGGTCTGCCGATAAGACGATAGGTCTTTGGGATTTGCGGAACTTGAAAACTAAATTACACTCCTTGGAAGGCCACACTGACTCTGTTACTTCGATCTCGTGGCATCCTTTTGAAGAAGCGGTTCTAGCCAGTGCGAGCTATGACCGGAAGATCGCTTTCTGGGATCTCAGTAGGGCAGGCGAGGAACAGACCCCTGAAGATGCCCAAGACGGTCCACCAGAGCTGTATGTCAATCTAGCATTTTTCGTCATTCTTGTATTCGGTGCTAATTTCCTTGCGCAGTCTCTTCCAGCACGGCGGGCATACCAATCGCATTTCCGACTTCAGTTGGAATCTCAACGATCCGTGGGTTCTTTGTTCCGCTGCCGAGGACAATCTGCTCCAGGTATGGAAAGTCGCCGATGCGATTGTTGGCAAGGATTTGGAGGATGTGCCAACCGAGGAGCTGGAACCTTGATTTTAGAGCGAGTTGATGGATGATGATCTCGAAAATATTGATACCTGTACCGTGTGGTCTAGTCAACTACTTTGTCAACAGTATACAGCATAGCTACGCATAGTAGTGCAATTGTTAAATATCAAGTGTGAAAACGTTCAACAATTGAAAAAAAGCTGGAGTGTATCCGGTAGATTTCCTTTCAATAATTGAAGTTGTAGCGAAAACAAACAGGAGAAAACCCGAATGTTGGACTGGCCATATCAGCCAGCCCTTATCAGGACGGTTGGGTCCCATACTCTTTCTCGCTACTCAGCAGGTAGTTGATCGTCTGTGGCAGAAGAAATATAGAACTGTTATATGACTCGATCATAGATAACCACTGTGGACCGAGTACCAGGTCATGCCAAAGCGTGCAAGAGTTGGAGACTCTTCTTCCCTCAACCTGATATCCATACTCCATACACTTCTGTTGTAACTGACTTCTCATCATTGAAGATAACAATTGCGCTCATGTAGCTAAATTCATGTACCAGGAAATGCCGAGGCTACTGCAGTAGAACCATTCACGCACGACAGATGCACGTCATGTATGGATGAATTTGACTTCAGGACAGAAATTGACATTTCATTTCCATCTCATGGTGTTACTTTAAAAAAGGCATTCAATACTCAAGACTTCATTGGAGGCAATACAATGTCTGTCATTGCTCGTCACAGGGGATGACTCAAACCGCCAGTATCAACTAACTAACTATGTATAATAATCATTAATCAGCGTAGGGAGTAGATGTGCCTCAGGCCACTAATTTAACCTGAACTACGCCAAACTGGGACTAGCCCAATCCCCCGCCTGCAAGTCAGCTCTCCAATGGTTGTTAACGCACCAATCATTTTGTCCTGTGCGCAGGCGGTGAGAGATTCAATGAAATCAGATCGGCGTTGGACGACTTTCGGAGGGTCCAGTTCGCTCCGAAAAAAAGAAGAATCAATCGCCATAGCGGAATTATGTAGCTAGCTAAGTGCCTAGTAATACAGAACGCCCACCTCCGTTGAACTAAACTTTTCCCCCCTCTTCCTCTCCTCAAAATAAATGGTGATTATTCTCTCGCTGCTTGTTTGTTCAATTTAGGACGTCCTCCATTGTCTTGTTCTAAGTGCTCTATCCGGTTGCTCATCTGATTGATTCTGTGATCAAGGCGCCGCTACAAATCTCATCCTCCTTATCGCCCCTCCACTTTTGTATTTTCAGATTACCTCTAAGGATCAGTCAGCCATGGGCTCCGGATCTCCTCCTCCAGGCCCAAAGCCTAAGTCCGCTATTCCATCTCACCTTCTTAATGGTAGCTCTCCTCTTCACCCTTCCAATACCACTGGCGTTCGTGATGCTCGTGAGCGCGAAAGTCTAAACTCATCCATCCGTTCCTCTTTTGCTCCTCGCATTCCCGCTGAGTTCAACTTGCCGGAAATAGAAACACATCCTGTCAGTGATGCCGACAATACCTATAATGGAGCTGTTCGGAATTCAGGCATTGCCAGGTAGATTAGATCTTGTTGACCAAAAAGAACAAGGCTCATCCCATTCATCCAGGCCTACCCTGAGCGATCCCCCGCGAGACCCCAGAGATGAGGGCGGTGCTTTAACCCCCCCGGCAACTGTCAGTCGACCATCGAGCCCGTACACTTCGAATCCTCCAATTGACTTTGACGGGTTGAGTTGGCCTTGTGAGTCACTGTCGTGGTCTTGGCTTTTGGATTGCTGTCTCATTGACTTTGTGAATAGGCCCCGGCACAAGAGCACGGTTGGAATCCACCCCTGAACAAACCGAAGAGCGCATTCAGAAACTTGCAGGTGCTGTAAGAACCATCTTTGAATGCATTGGAGAGGACCCGGAGAGAGAAGGTTTGCGGGAGACCCCCGAGAGATATGCCAAGGCCATGCTCTACTTCACCAAAGGCTACGAAGAGAATGTCAGGGATCTTGTCAATGGAGCAGTTTTCCATGAGGACCACGATGAACTGGTTATCGTCAAGGATATTGAGGTGTTCTCCCTCTGCGAACATCACATGGTACCTTTTACTGGAAAGGTAAGAATGGCATCCATGTCCTTCGAAATACATCCACTGACGAAAGTCCTTGGGATGCAGATGCACATCGGATACATCCCTGACCGTCGGGTGCTTGGTCTTTCTAAGCTAGCCCGATTGGCAGAGATGTTCTCCCGAAGACTTCAGGTGCAAGAACGTCTCACCAAGCAAGTCGCCCTCGCCATCTCGGAGGTTCTGAAGCCCCGCGGCGTTGGTGTCGTCATGGAATCTTCCCACCTTTGTATGGTGATGCGCGGTGTTCAGAAGACCAGCAGCACCACTACAACCAGCTGTATGCTTGGTTGCATGCGGTCCAGCGCGAAGACCCGGGAAGAGTTCTTGACGCTCCTCAATAGGAAGTGACGCTTTCACTGACTCAGAATATCTGTGTTTTAAGATTTGTTACCCCGTTTAACAGTGGATGACATTCATGATTTGCATAAGGAGTTATGGTGGTTTACCTTTCAACAGGTCATCGGGTGTTGGCATTTCGTTTTCTGGATGATGTCGCGTGCAAGGAGTTCTGCTTTTCTTATTATAACGCAAAAGACTCTTTTCATCTCTGCATATGCAAGTCCTATGTTATAATCTTCTCTTCCGTCTTTTGTTGTTCCGGATCTTCGAGACATCTTACGAATTTTGGTTTATTTATACGCACAGAGTTGGAGGGCCGGAGATAGGTGGCAGGACGAAAACAAATAGAAGACGGAAATACAGGCCCTCACTGACATATAGGCGTCCTATATACCATTCCTGGATGTTGGACTCGGGGCTAGTCACTTGGCTGGCGTGTTTGATTGATTCAACACTACAATCACTTTGCAGGTTCAGAAACCGACTTTGTTTGCCACTTATTCAGCATACTATAAGGTCACTGCTACAATATTTCTGATGAATACGCATCTCCTTGAATTGATAACTAACATACTGAAACTGTCCTTGGCCGAGTCTGTGCCCTAATCACCCTCTGTTGAAAGGTGAATCTCAACGGAGATCTGCCATCTAGAGTCTTCTACTGTGGGGAAGCAGTAGTGAGAGGTCAAGCATCGTGCTTTGGACCGCTGGTCTGAGTCAGGTGGTGGTGTGCTTGATATTCACTGTCAACACGCGTGTCAAAATTCACTACACGATGATCTCGAGTCCTTGTTTACATCTCTTTCTTGTTTATCACTCTCCTCTTGACGCGACTTTACCCAACCTCTGTATCTCTTAACAAACATTTCCTTCAAGTCAATCTTTGCTCGGAATTTATGTAGATAGTGTTCATTTACCAACAACAGGTCTGTCTTTCTCTTCATCGCACCTGAGTCTTCGAGAAGAAACGCCAATGGCGCGAACTATTCAGAGTGAGTTGATTCCAAGCGCTCATGGAAGTGGGGAAAGGATTATAGCTAATGACAGGTACTCTCTAGCGGACCGCAAACAGTCCAAAGCACCCACCAGACCAGAACGCACTCCTGATGAGTTGGAGGCCGGCGAAGCTCTAATCCTCCTCTCCAGGGGATATGGAGAGCGCACAGCAGGCACGAGGCAGCCATCAAACACCAACATGCAGACACAAAACGATCAGGGTAACCACCAAACACAGAACAACCGGGGTATGCCCGCGAATGCCAATCCTCGTCCTCGTCAAAACATGACATTGGCCCAGGCAGGTGGTAGGACGCAGACGCCTCAAAACGTTCCACAGCAACCTGCGAATGCTGCCGTGCCAGCAATGCAAGCGGCCCCGTATTGGAACGCCAACGGACTCCCAGCCGCAGCACCCGGCGCCAGGCCAGAGCGAGTTGCTTTGACGGGCCAGGAGGCGCTGCAGGCATATCTGATCAGACAGCAGATCCTTGCAGGTGTGGCTCCCCAGGACCTTATCATGATGAGAGGACCACCGCAGCATGGACGTCAAGCCATCCCACCACTGGTGCAGATAACGAACCAAGGTGTTTATGCTCCTGTCATACCTCCCGCGACATTCAACGGCGTGTTTCACCCATTTCCGATGTTGCCTCTTCAGCAGAACATACCAAATGCACCGGTACCTACGGGCGCAGCTGGTGTTCCCTATCCTGCTGTCGCACCTGGTATTCCTGCTCAAGCCGCTCAAGCCGCTAGAGCACCACAGTGTCATTGTCCTCCTAATGGACCTATGATGCCACAGGCAGCTGGCCAGTTCCAGGTCCAACAACCCCTGAACAGAAATCATCCTAATGTAGCAGCAGCAATGGCTCGTTTGAACGCTAACCGGCCTGCTCAGAACCGAGAGGTCTTTCCAGCGGCTATGCAGCTCAACGGGCAGCAGCCTCAAGGCACATATCCTCTACCCGTCAGGACTTTAGCGGAAGGGAACGTGAACATGCCCGCGAATAATGCGCCAGTGAGAGATAATGGAGCTCTTGATAAGACTGCTGGATCTCAACGTCACTCGCGCAGAACACCACAAATCAAAACCGAGTCTCCTGCGCCTGAGGCGGTCCTTGCAAATCAAGTTGACCATACGGACATTCGGAGGACTGTACCCGAGGCGAACGGACGCAGACGTCTGATTCCTCAACCGCATATTGCACTTCAGCCTCCCAACGACGGGCATAGACCTGCATCCAATGGCCCCGACCCTAGAGAATCTTCGGCCACCCCGACTGCTGCAGCGCAAAGCTTAACCAGCGTCGCGCAGCACAGTCGCAACGAAAGCAAAAACATCAGACGCAATAATTACAACATGCTCAGGTCCTTCATTTATCACCCGTCTATGGCGTTTTTGGCCTTTGATCATCTTGAAATAGAGGACGTGATCAATCTGCATCTTACCTGCAAGCGTTTCCATCAATTTGTGAGGAGCGTTCTGGCAATAATTGTCATGCGTAAGGCGGCACAGAAAGCGCCAGAGTCGCTGCGCACATTTCCATTCCTTTGCTATTATGGACTTTGTGATCGATGGTCGGCGCCACCCGGGCTGAGATTGAATGATGTAACTTACATCATACCCTCAGTCCGGTGGCTGAAGATGATCCTGTATCGTGAGGCAGTCGTGAAAGACATCATGGAGCGCATGGCTGACATGGGCTGGAAACTGCCCAACAGATGTGCCACGGTTGTGAAGAAGCTCTGGTTCTTGATGGATATTCCCGACAACAGACGTCGCACCTGGACGATCAGGAAGAAGACACTGTGGACTGACAACGATCTATTCCTCGCAGCTTATTTCATTGTGCAGCTGGATATGCTCTTCACCGACAGTCGCGCGAGGAAGAAGCAAGGTAGCATGAGACGCCTGCTCATGGCCCAGCCTAGCTTGGCTCTGCTGTGGGATGTTCTCAGGGACGCCGCGTTGACTACGCATTACGAGACTCTCAAGGCATACGTGCGCTGGCAGTATACTCCCCCGGCACACGAAGCGGGGTTGTTTGTTTTCGGCGTGCCACCCAATGAGGTTGGTTCTCTACAGTGGGAAGGATACGGCCGAAGGGCAAGAAATGTCAAATTCCAGCGACCAGACGAGTTGGTTTTGAGGGAGATCAAGGATCGGAACCTTGACATGCAGCGTATGTATGTGGACATTATTCTTTCTGATGAGCTGGAGCCGAAGGAGGATGCTTCGCCATACAGGTGGCATGAGGAGATCATGAAGGAGTTTGTGAACTTGCCTTGGTTGCAGGTCGTGAACTTGAAATGACTGAATAACTGCATGACTGAGGTACAATGAGGCCTGTTATGTTCAATGTGGATGATGACTTAAAGATCTGAGGGAATCGAGGTAACTTGGTGGATGGTTTCGGCGGTTTCTGTTAGTGTAGATACGGTATCGCTCTTTCAAAGCGAGCAATGTAAGTAGTACTCGATACTTCTAAATAGCACCATGAAAGATTCATTCTTTGAACGAAGTTACCTACACCTGTCAACATGAGAAGCACTCGATAATTCTCCAGGAGTCAACAGCTGTTGAGGATGATACTCCGTTGACCGCCGTGTCAAATCACGTGCCGTCGGAGCGGCCTTTTTTGTCTCCGCAAGTCCGAACAGGAAGAAGCCACAACTTGACATCCTCCAACGGACAGCATCAGCCATCATCTCGTATACTTGCCAATAGGTCCCAAGATATGGCATATCACCATAAGATAGATTTTGACTCAGCAGGTGAGGGCAATACTGTACTTTTTTCTGATGCTTGTCACATTTGGGATGGTCGATGGTCGCCAGCCGGGCAGTCCTCGGCACTTACCCTGACCAAGCCCACCATGCCGTTGTTTCACACATCAACACCACGAACCAAGACGTTGAATTGCTACGACGCTACTGGGATGACTGAAATTTCTACGGCAATCGCATGTTCTTATTTTTGATTTTATCTTCCAATCCCGCATGCAAGAAGCCCACTTTCGTTTCGGTGATTATCCACCAGGTACGCTTCTCACATGATTGCATTTGAGCTGTCAGGACTGCTAGTACAGAGACTAGCTCACAGATCAAGTCCACGGACAGTTTCTCACGGAGTGACAAGAAACTCGGTTAAGTATACTGAGCCTCCACTGTACCTTTATCAGTCAAATTCTGGTTTACCGGCGTCGCCTGAAGGTGCCCAACATGCGAATATTCGCAGTAAAACACGGATGATCTAGGTGATATGTCGACATGTTTGTGTGTTTCGTCATTCGTGGGTAGATATCAACAGCAAAGACCAAGTATCACTCTGTTGATGTACCCCATTTTGTGGTTCGATAAGAGGTTCCCGGACAGGCGGTACCTTCTGGGCACAGCTCAAGATGTCTCATCCACTGCGCGCATACAGGTTGCAGCGGATTAGAACCGACTATATTCGAGGGTTCCATTGCAGCTTAGGCTGATGCTCAAGTACTAACAAAACCAGGGAGAGCCGTGGCCTTGCACTCAAACTTCGTTGACGGGATTAGTCCTAAACGTCCTCAAGTGTCTCCCTGGTCACGCTGTCTGTTGCTTGTCTTTTGCTTGCCGTAGATAGGGCTTTTTTCCCGACCAAGAAGCAACGAAAGATGTCTTTCACAGGCAAGGGGCTCCTGAGCCAGGCGCGGGAAAGAAACTGGAAGCTGAGCATCCGAGGAAGAATGACGCACGAGCATAGCTCGGACATCATCTTTCTTGATATTGATTAAGGGAGAGATAAGACATGGAAAGAGCAAAGAGTGAGAGAAACAGGCCAGTCAACGATCTCCAGATTGTGCCTGTTTTTACCCCATGGTATCAAGGCCAAACATGAGGCATAAGTGGACGCTTCTTCATGGAAGGACAGTGTTCCATGCTGGCCAAGCTAAGTGAGCAGAATCCGTGGCAGCAGCACTGTACTCATGCTGGCTCGGTCCTCCAAACGCCCTCTACTTGCAGCCAGGTTCCATCGAGCAACATTCGTAGTAGATCCGGCAGTGTGTCAGGCGAATACAGACAGCAGTGGAAGCTCAACCTTGGGAGGAGCAGAGTATTAGCTTGTCGACTCGTCAAGTCCACTCGTGCTATCTATGTTCCATCAGGTGGACACATGATAGCTTGAACGGCTTCCCAGCACCTCACCGCATAGATGAACAACTAGTAGAATCAGTACCGTCACTGGTCGGCGTGACAGTTACTGTTCACAAGTCACATAATTTTGAGGTGTGGCCTTTTTGTTTGAGCGAAATCCCAGGTGCGTCTTCTCTCTCAGGGGATTTTCCATCCAGGCTTTCCCCACTAATCCTTCCCTTTAACCGAGTGAGTTGCGTTCCCATGTTCCCTTGCTTTTTTCCTTTTTTGTCACTGCGCACTCACAGCGATATACTCCCACCAGCTCCCTTTCCACCTCGGAAAAACCAACCCTCCGCAACACCCATTCATGCTTCTTTCCCGCCTGACAAGACTTACCAAAAGTGAACGCGGCCGACACACGCTCTGAATTGACTAGATCACTAGACGAAGGACAAGGCTCCACCGAATCTCCTACGATCACACTTACACGCTAATTCATCCGTTCTCCAGTCGGCGGGTTCATCCCATGCCCACTGCCTTGGTTTCATAATATCTAGTCTCTAAAACCAGATGCACCCCAAGAAATTTTCATGGCTGGGTCCGGTAACAGTCCGCTGTTGAGAGACCAGTGGAGCGCCCCTATCGACACCAGACTTCAGAGGGACCGGGGAAGGCAGAGGCCTCGAGGGTCGAACCGTGATAGAGGGAGGGACAGATTCCGCGATAGAGAGCGTCGTCGCCGGTCCAAAGCGAACGGACCTATTCCCCCGTTACGGTCGCCGCCACCTTCGCGTGCTCAACCCCCATCAGACCTCGGAGGACCTCGTTCATATCCTGAATTCTCTCCTAATAACACCTCGCCTCGTGGCTCACCTGGTCTGCCGTATTCTGAGCCCAGACAACGGCAGAATCAAGATCATCACCAGTTTGCCGAGCCTCAGCCTTTGGAAGGCGAGAGAGCGACCGAAAGAGATTATCGAAGGGACAACTCTCCATCTGCACCTCCTCCATTCAAGCGAAAGAGAACACAGAGTCCGTCCCCTGTGAGACCCTATCCTCCTCAACAAGACCCGAGCTATCACCATCCAGCTTCGGAGCAGTTTGACGAATTCGATCGGTGCTACCCTCATAAAAAACGTGGACGGTTTCCGGGGCGAGGCAGGGCGCGTCGAAGGTCTCCTAGAAGAGGAAGAGACCGGCGTAGGAAGGAATCCGATCGCTTCAAGGGTCCGAAGTCCCCTGCACGTGGTCCTATGTCACAGAGGAACCCACGTGAGCGATTCAACAGTCCGGACCCTGCAGACGACATTGAGCAAGAGTATCGTTATCGATCGACTTCTCGCCATTCCATTCACTCAACTGGCTCAAAATTTTCAGCGACCTCGCGTCACAGCTCGAGGATTGACGCAACAATGAATCCGAGACCAATTCAGTCTGCGATGGACAGTTCTTTCAGATCTCCCTCTCCCCCTCGACCAATCCCCAGGTTCGATGCTGAAAGTACCGGCGTCCCTCCAGACGGAGATCCCAATACGCGTGAAACGTTCCCTTTCCATGGACAGCGGACATTGGATGCCGGTAATAACCAGCGCTCTCGCCCCTCACGACCACATGCGGACACCAGTCAATACTCGACCTCACCGAAGTACGTCCCATCAAGTAATTCCTACCAGGGATCCCCTCAATCTACGTCGCCTTACCCTACCGGACGTGGGGGCTTGAGTGGGCAACCTCCTCATCCTAGGGCGCAAGAGTGAGTTTTCTTCCTTCAAATCATGACAACATTTAGTGCAAGGCTAACTGTTCAATGCAAACAGGTCTACACATTCCTCTCCATATCGTCAAAACAACTATCCTTTACAGGGCGGCTCACAAGACCAGTACAAGCAAGGTCAAGCACCGCCGACTGGTCCAGCGAACCACCCTCAATCGTATTCGGGTCCTTCCTACCGTGGTGGGCATTCAGGTTATCGTGGAAACTCCCAAAATCACGGCCGCGACCGGCGATTTTCTGGCTCTGGTCACTCATCCTACAATACTGGGCCGTCCGGGCGAGGCCGTTTTAACAGTTTCCAATGGAGCGCGCGCGGCCGAGGCGGCTCTCACAGTCCTCATACGACTCATGCGGAGTCCCAACAAAGTCCTGCACCCCCGCCAGGGGCAGAAGAGCAGAGCTTGGTAGGTGAGGGAGACAGAGACCAAACTTTCGGGTCTCCGGGCAGAGATCTACAAGGCGTGGATCAAGGTTCGAAACCGGGTTCCGAAAATGGGGATTTTCAGAAGATGTCTCAACCTCCACAACCATCCGACACCAATTCGACACCGAATAAAGGCGGCAAGTTTAGCTTCGCCTTCAAAGCCAAGACCACGCCTGCCCCTGCTCCCAAGCCAGTTCCAGATCTGGCACAGAGGATGCAGGCTCGAGAACCTCCACCTCGTGTTGCTGAAGCTCCTCGCAGCAGAGTGCCTCTTGGCCCGCCGCCGCGGTTCAAGCCTGAGCCACGCTTTGACCGCCGCGATCGAGACAGAGACCGAGACCGGCACCGAAATCGAGATCGGGACAGAGGTAGACGCGACCGGCGAGACTTCCGACGAGAGCCGCGTGATTTCCGTGAGCCTAGAGATATTCGCGACAACCGGAAAGACGATCGCCGCTTTGACCAGCGACATGACGGCAGGAAAGATGATCGCCGGCAGGATCCTCGTCCACCTCGCGGTCCTCGGGAACGTTCTCCGGGCTTGAAGCAACCCAGAATATTGACCCGCCCAAAGCCTCGTCCTACTCTTCCAGAAGAGTACGCAAAGTCCGATTCCGTTTATTACCGAAAGCCAGGGAACGAGTCCGTCATTGGTGCTGGCACCTACGGAAAGGTCTTTAAAGCAATACACGTCTATACCCAAAGGAAGGTGGCTCTCAAAAAGATACGTATGGAAGGCGAGAAAGATGGCTTCCCTGTCACGGCTGTTCGGGAAATCAAGTTGCTCCAGCACCTTCGTAACCATAATGTGGTCAGTTTACTCGAAGTTATGGTCGAGAGGAATGAGTGTTTTATGGTCTTCGAATACCTTTCGCACGATCTCACAGGACTCATCAATCATCCGACCTTCACCCTCACCGCTGCTCACAAGAAGGATCTCGCGAAGCAAATGTTTGAAGGTTTGAACTATCTCCACCACCGGGGCGTTCTGCACCGCGACATCAAGGCGGCAAATATCCTCATAAGCAATAGAGGCTTGTTGAAGTTCGCCGATTTTGGATTGGCGCGGTTTTTCTCCAAAAGTCGCCAACTCGATTACACCAACCGTGTGATTACGATCTGGTATCGGCCACCTGAACTTCTTCTCGGGGAGACCCGATACGGCCCTGCCGTGGACGTTTGGAGCGCGGGCTGCGTGTTTGTCGAATTGTTTACAAAGAAGGCTGTCTTCCCCGGAGAAGGGGGCGAAATCAGTCAGCTTGAAAAGCTCTACAACTCTCTTGGAACGCCTACCCGGGCTGAGTGGCCTGACCTTGTGGAGATGCCCTGGTTTGAGCTCATGCGGCCCACGGAGCGCAAGAAGCGAGTCTTTGAAGACGTATACCGTGAAGTACTGTCTCCAGCGGCTTTGGACCTAGTTTCTCAGATCTTCCGTTACGATCCTGCAAAGCGACCCTCAGCCGAGGCAGTGCTGGCACACTCCTATTTTGAGTTGGAGGAGCCAGCTCCGCAACAAGCCATCGAGTAAGTTTGCCAGCTTTCTCTCTCTGTTGGGCTATGACTAACAATTGCAGGTTGGAAAATATCGAGGGCGACTGGCACGAATTCGAGTCCAAAGCACTGCGCAAGGAGAAGGACAAGGAAGCTCGTCGCGCAGAATACCAGAAAGATAAAGAGAAAAGGAAAGCCGCTTCCTCAGCTCCGCAAAGCGAAAGGGAGACGAAGCGCGTCAGGCAAGACGAGGAGGAGAACCCACAACCTTCGGCACAGCCTATTGAACAGTAGAATCATACTTTGTGCTCTTCTGCGCCGCATATATGCTTTATAGTAGCCATGGAACCCTTTGTTGTCATTGCGACACTACATAATACATTCCCTGACTCACCACGGGCGTCAGGTGCTGATGAGACTTTCAATTTCACATTATGAGCAAATATCCTTCTCCGGATCTCCCCTGCTCTACTCTCTATTGAAGAGGAGAAGCGAGAGAAAGTACTCTAATTCTGTGTTTAACGGGTGGCATGAGCAGGATCTACGGATTCGCATCTAGTTAACATATCCTTCTATTACGAATTGAGAATTGAGAGCCTCGGTGACAGGCAAATGTATTAACTCAGCTTAACTTCGACTCAAATTGTTCTAATAGACGAATTGGGAGATGGCCATACTCTTTTGACCCGGTAGATGACATTCTGGAGGGTTATAGACGGTCAACCGCACGGTTATGCTCCGTCGTGTAGCAAGACGTTAAGAGGGACAAGTCATGTAATTAGAGCGTTCAACGTCTAGGAGAATCCAGCAAAAATGAGGGAGCAGAAGTTACATACTACGTGAAGACCTTGTCAGCAACAGAGAAATGAAGAAACAAAGGCAGTTATGCAGTATTTCGGCGTTTTGCGACAATCAGACTTTGCCATTGAACCTCACGCTCAACCAGCCAGGCCATTACAGCAGGATAGAGGCGGTTGAGCACCTCGGATTACCAGAGTACGAGTGCTTCTTCATGCGCAAGGAGGACATCAAACAGGAAAAGCCAACGTGGCCCACGATGGTGGACTGAAGGGGACACACGCACCGGCTCTACAAACGAACAGGAATCGTCGTTCGTTACCATTTAGTGAATTCAAGAAGGGGCAATTGATGGGACTGGAACCAGATCATGTTGGATGAAAGTAAATAAATGGGTATTCTAGAGGATGGAATGTCCCGTCGATCAGGTCATCACCGCATCATGGGTAGCTGGAGAGCCCTCGTGATGATGGTTTTAGACGCGGGGATTCTGTAGAGAATTCATCTCGACGCACTCATCGGAATCGCCAGAGCAGTGGAAGCGGTAAGAACGATACGCAGCCAGCAATGATTTGAGTCGGTGGTCTTGGGTTTTGTTAGAGAAGAAGAGAAAAAAGAGGAAAAGAAAAGAGAGAAGGATTCCTCTCTTTAAGAAGGGGAAAAAAAGAGCAGGAAAAACGATGGTGCGGGCGGAGAAGGGCGGGACGGGTGGTGATTGGCTCTATGCCTGAGGAGGGGGGCGGCAGAGCTCGAAGAAACGCGAAAGGCCAATGATCAGTGGCTTTTGGGCAGTGGAAATGGTCCTTGAGTTGCTTGACTGGTGATGATTCTGCTTGTCTCGCAGTGCAGTCTCTAGGTCTGTTCTTCTAAAGTCTTTAAACCTACCTACCTACCTACGTACCACCACCACCACCACTACCACTACCACTACCATCACCATCTAGGCTCCTACACCCTACCTTCACTCTGCTATTGCTCTACTCCGTACTACTATTCCACCGAACTTGACCCTACTTGACCTATTGCCTACCTCACAGTACTCCCGCATCACCTCTTTCCCCCCTCCACACACTCTCACACAATTACACATACTCACACCTTGTTAACGATCACGATCACGATCACGATTTTTTCTACTTCTTCGATTTATTTGTTTGACATAGCATCGATTCCCGCCCTTTAGCTTTTTCTTACTTTACAGATCTTCCGGGCGTTTCCTGCCTTTTTTTTGGACTTTGTATTGCCGTCTCTTTTTTCCGCCTATCCTGGTTTCGCCCTGCGATAGCAGCTTCTCCTCGCATTCGCTTGCGGCGCCTTTTTCTCTCCCTGATGACCGTTTGCTTTTCGACGTCCTGATTAGCTAGCGCCATGGATAATGCAAACTTGTGGACTCGCAGGGCCAAGTATGTCCAGGATTTCCGTCGTTCACAAGCCCTATCGTTCGGCGCAAGACTAACCTGTGTCGTGTGTGTTCTAGTTCCGCCAAATTGTCTCTGTCCATGACGGGAACTGACGGAAAGGACGGTGGCGCAAGAGTCGATCTTCCCCGCAGTCACACATCGAAGCGATTCGGCCCGGATAGCTCGCACGGTGGTCGATCGAATCCCTTGAATGCATTATCCCCCCTCTCGGGTGGCGTGTCTTCTCCTTCCACGAACGCTTCCTCCGCATTCGGCTTGGGTTCCGGCGCATTCGCTTCCTTTGGTACTCCCAAGACGCCTGGCACCAGTGCGTCAGACTTGAATTCGTCCAAAGCGCTGGGTGAGAAGCGAGAGACGGCTTCGGAACAGGACTCGGCAGCGGAAGTCAAGGCCAAGGCTTCAGCCTCCTCCTTGACTGGCCCGAGGGAGCATGCTCTGAAGTCTACGTGGGTGATCTGGTACCGTCCTCCGACACCCAAGTACTCTGACTATGAAAAGTCGACCATTCCCCTTGCGTCTATATCCTCGGTCGAGAGTTTCTGGTCGATATACACACATCTCAAGCGCCCATCTCTCCTCCCCACCGTCTCCGACTATCACATCTTCAAAAAAGGCATTCGTCCTGTATGGGAGGACGATGCCAATAAGAAGGGTGGAAAGTGGATTGTTCGGCTGAAGAAGGGAGTTGCTGACCGGTATTGGGAGGATCTTTTGTTGGCCATGATTGGTGACCAGTTCGCGGAGGCTAGCGATGAGGTCTGTGGCGCCGTTCTTAGTGTAAGGAGCGGAGAGGATGTGTTGAGTGTCTGGACCCGGATCGACGGTGGGCGCAACATCAAGATCAGGTAAGTTGTCATGTTTCACCCTTAGTTGGCAAGGTCTGGGTCACTCACTCTGCACAGGGAGACGATCAAGCGTCTGCTTGCCTTCCCGGCCGACACCAACATTGTATGGAAGAGCCACGATGACAGCATCGCTCAGCGCTCCGCAATTGACCAGGCTCGCCAGGAGAAGGCGGCCGGAAATCCGGGCCATCATCACCACCACCTCGCAGGGGACCGACGAAGACCTACGGCGAATGACGAGTCCATGGGAGATAAAGGAAAAGCGGCGGCGTCTTGATTTACTTGGTTTGATTCTCATTGAATGGTCCTGTATAGTAAAGAAGACAAAAACATTGGGACGTTTCTGGGCTCGGGGCATTGGGGCGAATTCATTGCGTCTGACTTTCTGGTTGCTTTCTCATTTCTCAACTTGTGTTTTTTTTCTTCTTTCTCATCTCGTGGTTCCCATGGTTTCTTTTCTCGTTTCTTTTGGGCAAGACGAGATGTGATGCAGGTCAACAGACAGCGCTGTATCAAGCGCATTGTAAAATCATACTTTCACACAAAGCTTCCATACACTACCAGCCTACCGAATTCTTTGAGATAATGCTCGGATGGTCTAAGCAGTCAGATGCCATTTTCTACACGCAAGGTACCTACTACACACGCCCTGTAATTCGTATCTACCCAAGGTGGTCCGTTTGCTCAAATGATCTCCATCCAATGGCGGTGCGGACAAACAGTGACTGCAGCTTCCGCGGCCTTTTTTTCTTTTCTTTTTTTCACTGCAGGGCAGAATATCACCGGCCGACCGCCTTTCTTGTTATCCATTCACGATATGATGCTGGTCTCTTCCAATTATCTCTCTTGCTTCCGGTCTTATTATTTCTTGCCCACTCTTCATGAAATCGGAAGTATGGTAGATCATCTGGAATTTTCATGAACCCAGCACTCTTTACATGCCGCTTTTCGGGACAATATCAGACTTTCTGGCCCCGTTGATTCCTCCGCGTCGCCGCTCAAATCGTCAGAACTACATCCCCGCTCCGCCATCAGATGCCACCTCTGATGAGCTACAACGGACTCAGGTGTCCGGCATAAGCGATGCTCCTCGTCTAGGGTCTTTTGCATCTGTCGTTCAATCCGGAATCGAACCACCTATTCAAGCCTCCGATGTGAGTCTGAATCATGCCCTTTCAATTGTTCTAAGCTCTTGTCCTATTGCCTATACCCTCTTGCGTATACATTTGATTAATCATTATACGCTTTGGACACTGCTTCTTTTTATTCTGCCTTTGCAGCGACATAACGAGACTCATTTGAACTTATGCTTTAGAATCTCCATCGCTATGCCGAAAGATTTCGACCTTCCTCAGAATCTCGACCTGTACGTTTACTACTACGCCAGACCATTCCTCGATTACGTTTAGGGATGCGTCGTCTGTGAATATGACCTCGCACCATGCGGATACAGATTGGACAACGCTTATACGAAGGATACAGGTCTCCAAAAGATGCGTCGATGCGACGGGACCGGGCAATTTCACGCCAGGATGAGCACAGATTATTCCCTTCCTATTCTACACGGTACGCATTATATGTCGGGGATATTTGTGCGACTGGGAGCTGACGTTCTGGGGACTCTCTTCTAGTCCGAGTCCGAATGGAGTACCGATAGTACCGGGGGAGACATTCAAGAAATCCCCAGGAGAGATATCTAAGAAAAGGAACCCGTTACAGGTATGGTACTCTCGGAATCCGTTCATTCTCTTATGACGAGACTGACGTCGAAGTTTGGTAGAATGTCAAGGGTGTGTTCAAACCAGTGGACAAGCTCTCTTCCAAAGGTCGAGAAAGCGGGCCAGTGCGCGCACGGGGAATGCAGGGAAACCGCGCGGGATTTCAGACATTTTCTAGTGTCAATATTCCTCGTCCGCAGACCCTCTTAGAGCATGACCTTTCGGAGAGGCCCGCGAAGCGCCGGCGTCGAGATACTCAGAGCTCTCCAACCGAAAGATACATCGACCTTTCCGACGATAACGAAACAGGGCATTCTGTTAATGAGTCGTCCTCGGTTGTTGGGAACGCCGCACCTCAATCGCCCGGATCAAGCCAACAATCACTGAAAGCTCATAAGTCAAAGCGAACCAAGCGCAACGCAGTTGATGAATATCGACAGGTTGAAAAGAATGTGAGAGTTACGGGGTCACAAGTTAGCCCCAAATTAGGGGCCAAGAGATTTCGCCATCGCTTTTCCCCGGAAGATGAACTTGAGCAGTGCTTCACTGAAAATGCTGCCAGGGAAAGGCGCTTTTCAATACCGAGTGTGAAGCATGAGGTTCTTCAGAGCGTTGAGATTCGTAAACCACGGGGATTCGATGTGGCCGGGAGTCCATCCCTTCACGCTCATCCAACGGATGGACAACAACGAGACTCAGAATCACGAGAAAGCCCAGATGAATTGCAAGGGGCTGCGACGGTGCAGCCCACCCCGGACTTTTCCAGCGAATTTCGTAAGAAAGACGTCAGGGGCGGCATAAACGCTGGGAAACAAGTGGCCCAAAAGGAGTCTTCACCAGCCGATATTCGACCGACTGACTTTGTCAGCTCGTCGCATTCAGGGCAAGGAAAATCCAAGCGCAAGAATAACAGATCTGGAAAACGTCCGAGCGCCGATCGGTCTTTTCAAGCAACCTATGTTCGGTTCGGTAGTATCATTGGACCATCCTCGGGCAATGAGATTGTCGAGCTATATGCTGATACAAACAATGAGATAATCAAAATGACCGGGCCCGACCCAGCGAGTTCGTTTCAGATACCCTTCAGCAAAGTTTTCAGGATTTCTCGAGGAGCCTCGCCAAGCTCTAAAGTTCGGCTCGCTCTCAGGGACGAAGATACCAGTGATCGATCGGTGGATATAGAGCTCACATCTTCTGAAGCCAAGGAGGACTTTTGCTCATTGTTCACCGCCAGTCATGTTAAAACCTTGGAGAAGGATACGTACGTATTTTCTCCCATTGAAGTTGATGATCCAAGCTCACCAAATTAGTAAATGGATGGATAATGCTTTCAGAAAGAACAAAAATATGAATACTCCACGGTATCTGAACGGAATCAAGAGAGCATGCACTGAGAGGGCTCCCGAACAAGGTTCCGAGACCATAGTTGAAGTACCGAAACGACCAAAGCTTTCAGCCTCATTGCAAGACGACCACAAAACTAAGGCAATTTCCCAATCCGCCCCGACAGACTCATCCTCAAATCCTGGACTGGCGCAGAAATCCCAAGAAACAACTTCCAATGAAATGACGAAAGCAAACTCAATTGAAGCAGGTACTGGAGAGGGGGTGGAGATACCAGTCAAGAAGTACGAAGGAGAGGCCACACCTTCCAGTCGTACAACAAGGTCCTCGTCGCGTCGTATGCTACCGACAACAGTGGTATCGTAAGTATGAGCTGGGTCCTAGGAAAGATTTTTTGCTAACCGGGCGTCGCAGCGATGATGAAGAGGAAAACTCGCCTCAACAGAAATGCGAAAAGATTTCTCAGAAGTGGCACAAGTCTGTTAAACACCGTTCGCTTCAATCGTCGCTTTGTAGGACTAATGAACATGATAGGCCACTTGTATACCCGCGTTTTGGCAAGAAGAAAGCTGAAGTTGACGCTCAAGATCTTGAACGACTGCGTGACAACGAGTTCTTAAACGACAACCTGATCGGCTTTTACATACGTTTCTTGGAGGATCATCTGGAACGAAACAACAAGGAAGTCTCAAAGAGAGTTTACTTCTTCAATTCGTACTTTTTTGCAACCCTTACGAATTTGCCGAGGGGTAAGCAGGGTATCAATTACGAAGGCGTTCAAAAATGGACGAGAAATGTCGACATATTCAGCTACGATTATATCGTGGTTCCTATCAACGAAGCAGCGCATTGGTATGTTGCGATCATATGCAATCTACCGAAACTTCCAGGCATTGCCAAGGACGAGGTGGTGCTTGATGAACCTGTGGAAGGCGGCACAGAGCCTTCAGCGCGACCGAAGCATGACGATCGGGAGATTCCGAACACGCCGGAGGCCGTTGGGGAAATACCTTCCGACAACGGAGAGACCGAAACTGCCGCTCGTTCTGCACCAAATCCCGCAAAGGAGGAATTAGCAAGGGAGTCGTTGGCTGCCATGAGCTTGTTGGACCAAAAGGAGATGAAGGACATGGAGGAGCGGGAGGTACCTGCTTCTGACGACGAGTGGCCAGAAAAAGAGGAGAACCCCGTATCCTCTCCCGCAAAGCTCTCGAGTCCTCCAAGAGATACGGAGCGCTCTAAACAGGTCAATTCTCAAAGTGCAAGTCAATCCTCGGTCTCAGGAAGTCAAAAATCACAGAAGCCAAAGAAAAAGCGCCTGGGCCCAAGATATGATGTGTGGCAGCCGATGATCATCACGTTTGACTCACTGAATCTATCACGCTCTCCCACCATCAGCGTCCTGCGCAATTATCTCCATGAAGAGGCCCAATCCAAACGTGGCCTCGAGATTGACACAACCTTGATCAAGGGGATGAAAGCTCAAGAAATCCCTTTGCAGCCCAACTACTGGGATTGTGGCCTCTATCTGCTCGCATATGTGGAGAAATTTGTACAGGATCCGGACGCATTTGTGACGAAATTGCTACGAAAAGAGATGAGATCGGAGGATGATTGGCCTCCTCTAAGGTCAGGGCTTCTTCGTTCTCGGTTGCGGAAGTTTCTTGGCGATTTGTATGATGAACAAGAGCAATTGAGTCGTGAGAAGGCGGCTGAGAAGACTACCATGGCGGACCGACAGCCAATATCCTATCTCCTTGGAGTTTCTGAGGACAAAACCGATCTTGCAGCTGAGAATATTAGGGATGCATCGGTAACGCGATCTGAGAAGTCGTCAAGCAGAAAACCAGCACCCGAGAAGTCCGGTTTAGAGCCTGCTCAAAGGCAAATACCAGGGGAGACGCGGTCCATGGTTCGAAGCTCATCGAGAGATGATACACCAGATAGTAGGATAAAAGCCAGAAGGTCACCTCTCCAGACGTTGGCAGCAAGTGCACCAGAGAGCACTACTCACAAGGAGGTTGTTGAAGTCCCTGACAGTCAAGAACAAGTCAAACCGAAGGAGGATGTGACGTCGCCTCGTCTCCTTCACGTGGAAGATTCTCAAGACGGACAAGCGCAATCTAAGCCGCAGGTACCCAAAATCATTGAAGAAGACGCAGTACAAATCCAAATACCCCATCAATCGGCGGAGGACAGCATTGTTGAGGTTCAAGTTCTTGGGACGCCTCCGCCGGGGTTGTCAACAGACAGACGGGATGGTGTTCGAAGGAGCCCGAGGTCGTCGAAAAAAAGGGCTTGAGCATACATGAGATGGTGCGGGTTTTACTTTCAAAGTACACATAGATTATTTGCTTTCTAGTTTGGTGTTTCGGATGATACGGGCAGGGGAAGTTATTTGTTTCTGCGGAATGCATCAGATACCAAGCATTGCATATGAATTATAATTGTTCTTTTTGCGAATCGAGCCTTCAGCTGCATATGCATGATCTCACTTCCACCATCATAAAGCTAAGTGGGCATGTATTCATTCAAGTGGTCTTAGATATAGTCTTTTCCGGAACGAAGACCAACTAGGAAGTCAATTGCTCTATTTTTCTAAAGTATGATATATCTGAAGAGCTTCAACATTTGCGTCCATGGCCGTCCGACTCAGACCCAAGTCACCACTCACTCTCATCCGCACCGACCCACCACGCCATCTTATCCCTCTTGAAGGCCTCGAAATCCCACTCCGCATCCTCCAATTGATCCTGACCAGCCACATAAACGTATGTCAACGCCTCCACCTCCTCCCTCTCATCCGCAAACTCCGCCCCGGCCGCATCAAGCACATCCTTCAGATGCCGATCCGGGTTCTTCGCAATGCTCGCCTCCTGTCGCCCACCCACACTCAACGACTCCGCCAGCACCCGCACCCGCACCCTCTCTTTGACATACTCCGACCCCTCGAAGATATCCAACCGGTGCACGTCCCCGTCCGTCAGCCCCGAGACGACGGTCCCCAGTACGGCGGCGTTGCCCGATTCTTCTGTCGAACCGTTGCTCGGGCAGGGCACGATGCCGGGGTAATCTGCTCCGCGGACGCGGTGCCGGCGGTAGCCATGGAGGATGGCGGGCTTGAACGAGAGCATGGCCTTTTGCCAGGGTTCTGGTTCCGGGCGGCCGTGGATGACTCTGTGGAGGATTTCCGGGGCCATCAGGGTTCCTGTGTTTGTTAGTAAGGGTTTTGTGTATCTGGTGGGTTGTCGGCCTGGACATAGTTTGTGCGTATGTGCTGGAGGGATTCGTTGGGGTAGGTGGGGGGAGGCGTTCGGCGAGCGATGTTTATCATTTGGGTACGTTCTAAAGTGAGTCATTGTGGGCAAGCAGCTCACCGTAGAAAAAGAGGACGTGATCTCCCATATTGGGTTGTCTGGTGTGTACTCAGAAGTAGGTACTTCTCTACTTCATACGTTAGGTGATGGTAAGGTAGCTGGTGGGATGAGCTTGGGAAGGGAAACTCTGCTGGAGTCGGGCTCGGAAAGAAGGTGGGGATTAAGGTACGGCGACGGTTAGCTCGTTTCCAAGGCAGGAGATGCTCCTCTAATAGATGATCTCTAGAATTCCAGTTTCATAGCCTCGCCCTCCATTCTCATGGATTCAATGAGGGGAAACTTTCGAGATAGGAACAGGAGACCCACCCCTTATCGATAAGGCACTGCTGGTGATGACAGGGGTACTCCGTACTCCGAACTGCGCCACAGTTTATTGACCGCCCGCATCGAAAAGGCCCATGTGGCTTCAAGCATCATCGTGTCGCTTTGCCCTTGGCATAATTGGGGACGCTGGCTCCTCCAGTTCACTTCTTTCTATGAGGCTCAGCAATATTTTGGTTTAACTCGTTATTCCCGATTGAATATTTGGTAGTCCAGATTCAGTCCATTGCCCAGAGTGTCCAGGGTAAATCAAACGAGATGCACTCGTCCCTGAACAGAGCGCAGGGCGTCTTTGGCTTCTTCACCACCGTCGCCTTGTTTGTTGCTGGAGTCGCTGCTCTGTCAGTGCTGCTGTATCCTGCGCATGACGCGAAGGCCGAGGTCGCGTTGAAAAATGTCCAGGTGTATGTTTGCTACTGATTCGACCTAGTTCATCTGGATGCTGTTTACTAATCATTATCCCAATCTGCAGAATCAAGGGTCGGCCAAATTACTATTCAACCAAGAAGGAAGAGTATGCGCAAATCAGGTTCGATCTGAATGCTGGTACGTATCTGACAACCCCCGTTCGCGGCTCCTAAGCTAAATCTAGACCTCTCAGACCTCTCCTCGCTCTTCAACTGGAACACAAAACAACTCTTCGTCTACGTCTACGCTTCCTACTCGTCCTCCGACAAGAAGTCCTCTCTCCTCCCCAACTCTGAGTCCATCATCTGGGATACCATCATCCCCGCCCCAGAATCGCCTTACTCGTTCAACGCCCTGCGCCAGCGCTTTTTCCCTCCCAAATCGACCTCCTCGGCCCGCAAAAACCAGAAGCGAAGCACTTCCGCCTCGAAGAAAACCTCGGCCTCCAAGAAGGAGACTATCGCGCCGGGCGTTCTCCATCTGCGCAACCAACGGGCTAAGTACCAGATCAGCGACATTACTGGGAAGATGGCGGAGCGCGAGAACGTGACGCTCTCTGTGGGCTGGAATGTGCAGCCCTGGGTTGGTGCGTTGTGGTGGAGTCCCGGCTCTGGTGCTGTGCCCCGGACGGCCGGTACTGTGGTGAGCAGTGAGGCTTTTGAATTTCCTGCTTTGAAGGGAAGTAAGGCCTCTGCTGCTAAGGCGGCTGGATCAGGTGCTCAGGCAGCCTAGAGTCTAGCAGTATGTTGAACACCAGAGGACAATTTTTGATTGCCAGTTTCATTGGCTGAAATATCCATTATAAGTATCATGCCTCGTCCAGAACTGTGAGAAACCATAAAATGTAGACATGAAATCATAAGAGAGGCCTATAACATCCATTGTAACTGAATCCATGGCTGAGCCGGGTCAAAGTCCAGAAAAGGGAAATAATTCATACGCAAAACAACGTGGTATCTAAGCATCAAGCCCCAACATTTTTTTCTGTAATGGTCCGTATAATAATCGTCATGCAGGTCATTAATTGGTCGCAGCTGAATGAGTCCGCTCAAACAGTGCTGCCATATGACCTTTCATTGTGTCCTTGCTGAATGCGTTCCGAATACACGCCGGGAGCGTGCTTCCGAGTCATCGGGTCCGTACTGCGGTTGTGATAGTAGACGTATTCCAGATAGAAAGCATGAATGTGGCCCGGGAAGTATCTATGTCTATCAGCAGACTGTTCTATGCGCCTCACATGTTGAAAGACAGATGAATGGAGAAGATACTGCCTTGCAGGTGCAAAATCTAGAGAAAAGGATCACTCACCCTAGAATCGTGAGCAGAATATTGATGAAGAAATCCACACTGCAGCCCGAGATCATAAATACGCCAAGAGGAGGTACTAGCAATCATATCCAGGTTAGAGGTGTGATCCTTCGTGCTGACACTTCTTGAACGGCATTACGCAACATCGGCTAGATTCCGTTTGATCGATTGGGAATCCGACTGTGTAAAGATGAAGAGGAACAGGAAAAATACTGAAGAGAGTGACCAAAATCAAACATAGCATTGACGCCGTCTCTGCCATTTTGTCCACAATGTCTACTCTGCTAGTTTTCCGATGATCTGACCGAGGTTTTGCTGGAACTCCAGGAAGTTCCCAGGAAGCTGAGAAACAGAATCGCAAACAACAAGATAAATATATAGATGGGAGTGTTGTCGTCAATAGTGGAGTTGAGACGCTTCATTATATATGATTGAAGGCGGAAGAGGGATCAGCAGTTAAGAGTCACGCCACCTCAGGGTATGATACAAATAGGACTCCCCAGCTTGGGCAGAATGAGACCTTCGCGATTGTTGACCGTAGGGCTGAAGGCAGAAATATTTTGGCCTTAGGACTTAGGAGTCAACGTGAGGTCTTCCTTGACGTCATCCCGCAATGTTCCGGGCCTAGATCATGATTTGCTATTCCTGTTTCGGACATGTCGACCGAGCCACAGAAGACTGGCTCGGATTTGCAGGTGTGGCTCGTTGGTGCTAGGTAGCCAGGAAGTGCTATAAAGACTGTACATTTCTGTACTCCGCAGCAGTGGTCATATTGCGTAGGCATGTACGTGTCACTGAATGTTGATCTAATAAGTTTTCTCAACTCCTTCGACTCATGCTTATTTCCTATTCCACACAAAACAAACGTGAGGTGCAGGCAAAGGGTCGGCAGAGCAGACTCCTAACAATCAAACAGCATCAATGGATGCTCTTGTGGTGACTTGCTCGTTTTTGTTGCCGAGCTTTGATATCTGCAGAAACGCATCCACTCCATAGCCCTCCAGGCTATGTAATTCAAGGCTGCCTGCCCAATATTCTGCATAGACCCTGCTCATAGGGAGGCCAATTCCAAGGCGTAGATTAGGTGGACGGGAGGTGAGTGAGTCAAGCGAGCCCTCTCGGAATGTTTCCCTGTCGGCGTGTTTCCGTTCCTTAGACACTGTCAGCTCTTGCATCGTAGCTGCCATCGCAGGGACCTGTTTCAAATTTTGGAGTCGTGATTTGCTTAGAGGGCCTTTGTCGAAGGACCACAGATATGGCATAACTTCACGGGGTATCCCTCCCCCTTGATCCGATACTCGCATGATCACATGCTGTGGCGCCTCGCAGACAAGAACCTCGATGGGCGGAGGCTTTTCGGAAGAATCTTTGTATTTTTCGATGACAGCCTGGATCGAGTTGCGCAGGAGCTCGCCAATGATATACTCTAAATGGCTCAGAATGTACGGGAAAGTCGCTTCAAGATGTCCCTGTACAAGGATCTCGGGAATCTTGTCTGTTCCTGAGCTTTGCCGCATCATATCCTGCGCAAGCTTCCCGCAACGTTCAATCACCTCTTTCGCATTGCACTTGAGAAATACCTCGCCAACAAAGTCTGCGTTCATATCAGTCCGGTCCTGGGAGCTTGGGAAGTGCCATGGAGAGCTGAAAGTTTCTGTCAAGGCTAAGTGCTGCTCTGCAATGACTCGACGGGAAATTCTCTAGAGATCGAGAGCAAATTAGCCACTCGCATAGAAACAGCGGTAGAAATCCGGATGTTGGCACTTTCCATACCGATCGAAGGAGAGTGTTCATAAATTGATCCATCACACCTGGTGCTACAAGATCGCGACACTCTAGAACGCCCATTGCTAATTTCGGAATCACAACGAGATGCTCCTTGAGAGTCTTACGCAGGATGTCACAAAATCTTTCGTTATCCTCCAGAGTCTTGATCTCCGGTATGACGCGAAACCGTTCAAATGCCTTGTAGTAGAGCTCATATACAAGGGAAAGATGTGGATTTGCTACAACCACATACGGCAGCTTCTGGATGTCTCGCAGTCGATGCGCAATTCTGATTGTGGGAATCACAAATGCAAGTCAGGCTGGGACGGCTCAAGGCATGCAAGGGGAAAGCGCATACTGACCTGGTTGGCAGCTCTGTTCGCACGTAGTTGGCGGAACTGATGAGGCGCGATTCCGTCAATGTTCGCCCAAAGAAAGTCAATTGCCGCAGACTAATAGGCCGAATCTCGCGCTCAACCCATCTGTTACAGGCATAGGGTCAGCAGCAGTTGTACTTATGCTGGTAGCATTGCATACTCGTCGAGAACGGAGCCAGGTCTCCACGGAGGCGGGCTATGTGAGTTGTCAAGACCGGAGTAGAACCGGACTCGAGGTTTGCAACTCAGTCGAAGCGCATGCCAACATCGAACTGGTTGATTCCGCCGCATGATGCGGTTGACTCAAGGCGCAAGGGGACTTGAAAGTTCAAGGATATCGCTCCACAGTGGATTTTGACTCAGCCGTGACGGTTGACCAGTATAAGATAGATATAGCGTCTTCCATACATGGCTCATCTGCAGTCAGCAGCTACCAACAATTTTTTGTCTCTCACTGGTGGCATGACATTTTGCTGCACACGTAAACTAAGTTATGAGCAGGTGTGTACCTCTCTAAATGTGTTTGTTCACCGGCAATTAATCCAGGGCGGTGAGTGCTCAGCCTGACATGTGACGTCGACACTATCCATGAAGACTTGCTTTGTTGATCATCTTCCGCAGCAACCAGCATCAACAGGAACATATGTGCATTGAAGATAACTTTTAATGATATTTCTGTCAGGACATAGAGAGGTATCTGGAAGTATAAAGCCAATGTCAGGCCTGTGATATGAAATGAAGCACAGAAACCGAGGAACCACGCGATGAGAGACGATGATTGATCATGCTACCAGCCTACCACATGCTCTGACTGGCTTGTGCCTCTGTCAGTATCCATTCCAGTTCCCGGCTTTGTTATACTAGTTTATGCTTTGTGATGCCTGGTTTTCCCTCGGTCTTTGCCCGGGCCGTGGGCATCACAAGTGACATAATTCTCGAGGACACAACTATGTAGCTAGACGTTGGTCTACTTCGCGCACTTCCTTCTCTTATGCTCTTCATTCAGAGATACCAGGAGCAAGATGACAGATTTCTGGAAATCGCTGACCATAAAGAGCCAAAAGGAAACAGAATAGCATAGTTTTCAACGACTTGGTGGCTCACTGCAACCGACTATGCCGTCAAGCTTGAAGCATCTAACTATAATCTGCCCTAAGCTTACCTAAGTGAGAATTTACAGTACAGGGTGATCAAAAGACAGGCCAGTAGAACATCAGCTAGGCAGTAATTCTGACAGACAAATTAAGCACTTAGTCTCTTTTTCATCGCTTCTGCAGTCGCTCCGTTTAGATTGCTGTACTTGAACAATACTCTGCAGCCGACCTTATTCATAGGCGGTCTCAGTGTCCCACCTGTTTTTATTGGGTTCTGGGAACTCCGCCACTACCTTAGCTTCATCTCCTCTGAACCGGAATCTGGTCCTTCAGATCTCTTTTTACCACTTACTCAGTGTCTTGTGTCACTCTCTTATTCATCTTCTTCTCATCTTATCACTGTTTTGTCCCTTGTTCACCTTCTCCTCTGTTTGCCTCCTGGGTAGCCACCCAACGCGTCCTTGATTGACGGTATTTTCAGGTGAAGTGCTTGAGCGCACTTTTCTTTCTTCATGGACAACGTCAGTATCCAGTTCATTCCTGTATCTTCATAAAAAAGAAGAGGAACGACCCAGAGTCACTGAAACATTATTTATCAATATCTGACATGTGAAATTTTCGTCTTACAGGTTGCGGATAATGAGATGCTCGTCGATGAATATGAGCAGTATCACAATGACAGGACAGATGATGTCGTGGTTTCTCGCTCCGGATCAGAGGAGCTGGAACCAGAGCCCCTTGCGGATGACTGTAAGATTGTCTACCATGCCATTCAGATGTTATACACTTTCCCACATTTGTTCAAGATGGCTCTGGATCGGTACCTCGGTCCTCGCGCAAGGGTCGGATATCCAAGAGTCAATTGCTGGCGCCTAGATCTACACACCTCGTCCCTCGCAATCACACGATGACAGTGTACTAAGCTCTGGTTTAGTTTCAGCAATGATGGCACGCATACTTCCTAAGGATCCCGACCTGGAAACCGCGGACGAGGCATATCACACATGGCACATCCAGGATTGGCGGAAGTTGAAAAAGAAGGAGCATGGGCCAGTATTCCAGTGCGGGGGATTCCCATGGTGAGTTGAGGATCTGAAGAGCAATCCGATTGCTCTCGCAGTCTGACATTGGTTAACAGGCGGGTTCTTTTCTTCCCTTACGGCAATCATGTCGATTATGCATCGTTCTATTTGGAGCATGCCTGGGACAAGGAGCCTCCGGAAAATTGGTATGCATGCGTCCAGTTTGCTCTGGTACTGTGGAACGTCAATGACCCATCTATTTACGTATCTCACGGTATGTACTTCGATGGCCATGTGCTCCCTTCTCTTCGTCCTTCTGAACTCGTATGCAGTCGCTACGCACCGTTTCAATGCCGACGAGGGCGATTGGGGCTTTACCAGGTTCTGTGAGCTGCGCAGGCTTTTCAACATGCCATGGGAAGGCCATGGAGTGCCGTTAGTGCAGAATGATGAAGCTAAAGTCACTGCCTACGTGCGTGTTGTGAAGGACCCGACAGGGGTACTTTGGCACAGTTTTCAGAAGTATGTACTGTTTGAATATCACAGCGTCGTACGAGGCTTACTCGACCCAGTTACGACTCGAAGAAGGAGACTGGCATGGTGGGGTTGAAAAACCAGGGCGCAACGTGTTACCTCAACTCCCTGCTGCAATCCCTGTATTTCACAAATGCTTTCCGCAAGGTAGGGTTTTCTCTTCTTAGATTGCTGCCCGAGATATTGACTATTTTTAAGGCCGTGTACCAAATTCCCACGGAGGCAGAAGCGACAAGAGAGAACAGTGCCTGGACCCTTCAAAGACTCTTCTACAATCTTCAAACGAGCGAAAACTCTGTCTCGACAACCGAGTTGACTGCATCATTTGGCTGGGAATCGCGGCAGATCTTCGAACAGCAAGATGTTCAAGAACTTTCCCGAAAGCTTATGGAAAGATTGGAGGAGAAGATGAAAGCGACACCAGTAGAGAAGGCACTGCCTGAACTTTTCGTCGGCAAGACGAAGACTTATATTTCTTGCATCAACGTCGACTACGAATCGTCACGTGTGGAAGATTTTTGGGATATTCAGCTCAATGTCAGAGGCAACAAGACCCTCGACGATAGTTTCAAGGACTACATCCAGGTGGAAACCCTCGAGGGCGAGAACAAGTACGATGCAGGCTCTCCCTACGGCTTGCAAGATGCCAAGAAAGGTGTCATCTTCGAGAGCTTCCCTCCTGTGCTTCATCTGCACCTCAAACGTTTCGAATATGACATTAATCGCGATGCGATGATGAAGATCAATGACCGTCACGCTTTCCCGATGGAGTTCGACGCGACTCCATATCTCTCCGATGCTGCCGACAAATCCGAACCGTGGATTTATCAGTTGCATGGAGTTCTAGTTCACAGTGGTGATTTGAACGCAGGCCATTACTACGCATTCTTGAAGCCTACCAAGGACGGTCATTGGTACAAATTCGACGACGACCGTGTAACTCGGGCTACTGACAAGGAAGTACTTGAGGAGAACTACGGTGGTGAATATGAACTATCCAATGGCGCGGCTGGCGTCCGGCAACCACATACACGGGGTTTGTCGACCAAGCGGTCAATGAATGCCTACATGTTGGTCTATATTCGGAAAACACGCTTGGATGATGTCCTTCTGCCGATAACAAAGGAAGATATCCCTTCTCACATTGGTAAGCCCCGGCAATCTGTTCATACGCAACTAAAGTTTTGACATTGAATCAGAAAAGCGTTTAGTGGAGGAGCGGGCAGAGCTTCTCCGCAGAAAGAAGGAGAGAGAAGAGGCTCACCTGTATATCAATATCGGAGTTCTATCGGACGAGTCGTACAGGTCACATCATGGCTTCGATTTGACGAGCACGGACCTACCCCCAGGCGATCCGGCCCAGCCGAAACAATATAGGATTCTTCGGGCTAAGAAGGTTGGCGAGTTCGTAGAGCAGCTTGCCGAAGAACGGGGTCTGAACGCAAACCAAATCAGGCTGTGGGTGATGGTGAACCGTCAAAACAAGACGACTCGCCCGGACCAAGCCATCAAAGACCCAGAAATGACAGTGGAAGAGGCCTACAGCAGATTTGGCACTAAAGGAAACCCGTTCAAAGTATGGATGGAAGTTGGTCAACCATCTACGGATGGGACCATCTCCTGGCCTGACAGCAGTACTTCTGTTCTCGTCTTTCTGAAGAACTTCGACGTCCCCTCGCAGACTCTTTCTGGAGTCGGTGCTGTATACGTCCGCAAGAACCAGAGAGTCGCAGAACTCGCCCCGACAATTCTCGAGAAAATGAACTGGCCTGCCGGGACGGAGTTCATGCTTTTCGAGGAAATCAAGCACAACATGATCGATGTGATGAAGCCAAAACAGACTTTCCAGCAGTCTGAAATTCAAGACGGCGATATAATCACGTTTCAACGCACAGTCAAAGAATCCGACTTACCTCCCACTGCACTGTACACTGATGCAAGGCAGTATTATGACTACTTGTTGAACAGGATAAATATCACTTTTGCTCCCATCAAAGCGACTGATGGCGACGAGTTCACTCTCACCTTGAGCCGGAAGATGACATACGACCAGTTCTCGAAGAAGGTCGGCGAGCAGCTCAACGTGGAATCAACTCACCTGCGCTTCGCCCCAGTTCTTGCAAGTACCGGAAAGCCAAAGCCGTTCATTAAACGCAATCCTAACCAAACCAACCAAACACTGTACCACATCCTTAGTGGGCAGGTCAGTGGCTACGGTTATAGCATGCATCGCCAAGATGCACTATACTACGAAGTCCTTGAAACTAGTCTCAGCGATTATGAGTCGAAAACTACGCTGAAAGTAACGCTGCTCCCCGAAGGAATTACGAAAGAGGTAAGTCCGCTGTATCGTCGAGCCCTAGGATCATTTATGCTCATTTGTACATCAGCAATTGGTTGAAGTCCTGGTGCCTCGGGACGGGACCATCGCAGATCTTCTGGCGGGTCTGCAGAAAAAGGCAAACCTCGAAGATGACATCGTCCGAGAAATGCGGATTTTCGAGGCCCACAGCGGCAAAATTTACAAGGAGTACCAAGAAGATGCTAAGATCGCCGGCATCAATGAGTACGTGACTTTATACGCTGAGAGGATACCCGAGGAAGAAATTCAGATGCACGACGGCGAACGGACAATCAATGCATTCAACTTTGACCGAGAGCCAAGCAGGCCGCATGGTATCCCATTCAAGTTTGTCATGAAACCTGTACGCACATCCCATTCCTTGCTTTGGCTTTCACTAGTGCTCACACCTTTCAGGGCGAGATCTTCAAGGAAACAAAAGAGAGGCTCTCCAAGCGAACCGGCATCAAGGGCAAACAATTTGAGAAGATCAAATTTGCTGTTGTTCCCCGGTCTTTGTATTCTAACCCGCGGTATCTTGAAGATGGTAAGTGTTGCAGCTTCCCTTCTGAAGCGAAAATATGGAGGCGCTAATATAGTGATTGCAGATGACATCCTTTCCGACATTGTTGGCGAATCCGACGATCTGCTCGGACTTGACCATGTAAATAAAAGCCGGAGCTTTTGGAGCAGGAGCGAGTCTTTTTTCATTCGATAGATGAGGTGATCTATGCGATGTACTCGGTGGCGGCAATTGCGACCATCAAACCTATGCTTATAGATAGCACGCATGCTATTATTATTGATGCCTCATACTTGAGAAATACCATATTCTTGTTTTGAGAGTATTTTCAAGATCTGTTGGGACTCCCTAGTCCTCTCCTGATGTACCATGCCTTTCTATGTCTTTGCGTTTTCTTTTACTATTTTGCACTTTCTTCCAGGGTTGGCCTAGTGTCCATTCCTGCAGAAGGTACCAGGATTTTGAGCGCTTCCAAACCCGTCTCGAGCTCTTAGTTTCATAGTCTCATAGTATGGCACCATCACTCCGCGCCTGTTGTTATCTGACTAGAGGAGGACTCCGTACGGAGTACAAAATAAGCTTCCTGCCGAGTGATGGGGACTAGTCCTATTGTGGTATACTGCAAACACAGCAAACGCGGCGGAACGCAAAGCTGTCCAGAACTTCCCACTCCTTCTGAACTCCGTGGAAGTCGCGTGTGTTTGGAGTCAACTGTTTTTTTAAAGGGAGCTGCCCCGTTTGACTTACGGACCCTCTTCTCTTTCCCCTAACCCACAATGCAATTTGCAACTGTGTTGATAGGTCTCCTGGCCACTCTGGTCTCGACTGTGACGGCGACCGCTTTAACGTACAGACTCGAGGCCAACGAGAAGGCCTGCTTCTATAACTACGTTGATCAAAGGAACGCCAAGGTTGCGTTTTATTTCGCTGTATGCTCTCTGTCTTTTTGCCTCTGGGAATAGAAAATGTCAAGCGCAAGGGATTGATAAACGGAAACATGGCTGACGATACATCGACTCCAGGTTCAATCTGGCGGCTCTTTCGATGTCGATTACTCAGTTGTCGGTCCCGGAGAGAAGGTTGTCCTAGATGGAACTAAGGAACGGCAAGGCGACTTTGTCTTTACTGCTCAGAGCATTGGAGAGTACCGATTCTGCTTCAACAATGAGATGTCAACATTTGCAGAGAAGATGGTCGACTTTGAGATTGCTGTATGTTCGGGTGCTTGGAGTCCTCCTTTCCTCCTACGCGGTGGCTGGATTTGTGCTGGGGGACTTATCGCATTAACTCGGATTCTTTGTAGGTCGAGAATGAGGAGCGCGCGCAATTGCCTTTTCGACAAGGTGCGAGTCCCGAGCAGGCATCGGCCCTTGAAGAGTCCATCTTCAAACTGTCTGCTCAGCTGTCAACTATTGCCCGCAACCAAAAGTACTTCCGGACCCGCGAGAACCGCAATTTCAGCACGGTTCGCAGCACCGAGAGGCGCATCTTCAACTTCAGTGTGATTGAGGGCTTGATGATGGTTTCGATGGCTGGTCTGCAGGTGTTTATTGTTCGGTTCTTCTTCCAGGGTGCACGGAAAGGTATGTATTTCCTTGGGGCATACAACCCGGCACCATACTTGATCTATGGTTCTTTCCGTTCCTTGATTCAATTCCACATCCGACTGACGTCCTTGCAGGCTACGTGTGATTAATGAACATGAATAATATGGTTATGTCTGTTGAATTGTGGCGTCTACTATTGTATCTATCCCCTTGTCATAGGTTCTAGAATTAGTGCCCCTTTGATGCTGGAGCCTCTTTCTCCTTCAAGCGAAGTTAGCGATGACCAGGCGACCTCAATCTGTGGTCGGGGCAGGGCGAAACTCAATGCGTAGCAAGATTTCGTTCTCCTAAAGGTGGGTAAGAGAAGTCATGCTCTGCATCATTACGCACTTCGTAACGGGGTTCCCAACTCTTGTTCTTCTATCCGGTTTGAACTAATAACTGTAGTGCAGCAAGGTTCCTGACAAATGACCTCACGGTTACATAGGCGGTTCATGACAACGAACCCAAACAACATGCGGCAGAATAGGAGCTTAGGGGAAGCCTCGGTGAAGCGAGGTGCACTGAGGAATCAGTTTGGGGTGCTGCTTGTGGTGAGGAAAAAGTGAGTAGCTTCTATTAGCATTGTATGTTGCATTGTGTTGGAGCGTTCGCTCATCAGCGCGATTGTCTGTACTAAGATTGGAAACATTCAGTCTTGTCTGTCTGTCTAGTTGACGATCAACGTCAAGGGAACCGTTCGACAAGGCGACAAGACCAGGAACAGATGTGGGACGTCATAATACACGGAGGTTGGGGGAGACATATGACAGTTGCCAAGAATCGAAGATACCAATATAGGGAGGTACTCAGCTATTACTGGGGACAGGCGTTTCGCGATGTGTCGATGAATAGGTACGCAGGAGCTCGAAGGAGGGTACTCTAGCAAATGACGTTGCGATGCAGACCTGCCATTTGAGGGACGAGCGATGATCTTTGTTGTCTCTTAGGCGAAATGCCGTGTCGCGCAGTGATTTCATCCCTTCATCCATCCCACACACTGTGATATCATCAGGAACATCATAGGTGGTCCCTGGATGACCGCATTGCTCTACTGCTGTTCACCATACTCTGACAACTGTCTGAGTTCTACCTAAACGGCGACATATCATTCGTACTCGAAGGATTTTACTTTGGATCGCCTGTGGAGAACCACACTCCTCGGGGTCGTCCAATGAAAATCCGGTCCAGGATTGGCATACGAAAACGATGACCTTCAGAGAAGCGAACAGTGATGGATGGTACGGCGTGGAAGAGGAAGGATTACAGTGACTTGCCTGACCGGGGGAAGATCAGATACCGCTGATCTCATCCGACGTCTTTTTCTTTCCCGACAACGCCTATAGTTGTGTTGGAGACACTAAGCATCATGGAAATCTAGAACCTCGTTAACGACGAAGCTACAGCCAGGACATGCCAATCTGTCGTTTTTCCGAAAACGGGGCCATTTCCACTTGGGATTTCTTGATGTCGAACCATCGGCAAGGACACAACAGGGGCAGTAGTCTACTAACTAGAGCCTCCTCTGCGTCATCAACCGCTTCCGCGGAGTCTTGGTTAGGTCGGCTGATACTTGATACTGATAGGCCACGAGAGTTATGGGAAGGTCGCGAATGCGGTTCTGAGTTAGCATGTAGCTGGTTGACCACGCTAGATGCTCCTAACTCCAGTCTCCAGGAGCTGTCGATGTCGACTATTGACAGCCAGGTGGAAGAGCGGCGCAGATCAGTCAGGATATCTGCATTCCGCACTGGATGGAACTCCGTGCATTGCAACCCCAAGCAATCCAGACTTAGCGACGAACTTCGAGTTTGTGCATTGATATACATCGCATGAGGCTAGAGAAAGGGGCAGGGTGGCAAAATGATTGCATCGTCCCTTCCTCCCCACAGTACATACATGATCCATGGGCCTGAAAGGGAAGTCTATTGGCCTCGGAAAAGGGTTGCGAGAGAGAAATGGCAAAATATGGAACTAACTGACTAAACTATAGGTACTCATTGTGCGGAACGCAAGAATTCGCACCATTTGAGCGCTGGCGTGACGGAGATAACAAATTAACAATTGACATTGACTCGTTAGCTTTGGATTTCTATCAGGGGATTCTTTTTCACAGCGCCTTATGAGTTATGATTGGCATGATGTCGACACTTTCGAGGTTTGTGGCTGCATGGTAGGTATCCGAACTCTGCACAAGGCTGGCTGATCATCTGTGTCAGAAGCCCAGAGCTCTTGTGTCTAAGACACTTTGTCTTACAATTATTGGAATCGTTATAGATAAGAGGTTGAGGTTGCATATGCAATATTTATATTCCGATTTATCCACAAGAATCTCAAGGAGTCAAGACTTCATACGGAGTAGATAAGGTATCCTTCAAAGTGCCTGTAGCACCAGCCACATGACATCATCTAGTAACCTCAGGCAGCCAGCTCGTGCTCTTTTTCTCCACCACAAGAAACGGCATGGAAATTCATCGAAACTTCCCCAAGCGAACTGTCAATTGATGGCGTTGAGCAGCACAGATTTGCAGACACAGGCATATCATCTCCATGCACAGGAGGCACCAAAAGAATCGAGGATACGATTTTATAACTTCAACCACGGTCCTTTCTCTGTTTCATCCACCTGCCTAGTGGCTTCGCCACACCGATTAATCGAACGACTGATCAAGCGACCATGACATCCTCACATTGGCTGATCACTCGATCTGCCATTTACAGTACCGATCTGTCTTCGCTCTGCGTCTATCCGCCTGCTTGCCTGAGCTTCTACAACATAGCTCTAAGCCTCTAACGGCCAAGAGTTATTCGTTGTCTCTAACTGTGGGATACTCTGATGGATTGCTTAGTATTCGTCCTTCAACAGACGAATTTATCTCCAACGGGCCGAGAAACACTTATCTCTTTGTCAAGCTATTCTGAATACGATGCACGGAGCCACGGAGATCAAACTCGCATCGAACTAATGATTTAGCATAGCATCTAAACACTATTCATTGACACGTCTGGTCCTATGTCTCTTGGGCATTAGCATGGATCAACACAGTTTACCTGTGTAGAGTCATGGATAACTTCCAGGCCTCATCTTCGCACGGATAACCATAAGGGGGTACAATTTTTCGGCAACTTCTTCAATGTCTCGACACCATCTGGGCCTCACAGACTCCAATGGGTCGACCACATTGTCAGAATTGTTTCCCAGTGGTGATCTGCAGGGACGGGCTTGCCTCGTCTTGCCGATCGAAAAGTGCCATCAATTTCCTGTGATCCACTCCCGACCCTCCAGTGACCTCATTCCGGGCCCCGTAAGACCATCTGGGGGTTCGCCGACCCATCAGATTGTGGTGGAGTCTGTTATATTATTCCCAATACCAACCATACTGGGTGTACAGTGCCCCTAAAAAGGATTAACTACGGATACACGACAGTGTCCCGTCGATTTTATTACTGACGAGTCCGAGCGAGCAGCAAAAAAGTCCCTCAGATAATCTTTTTCTTTTTTTTTCTTCTATTTTTCTTTTCTTCCCCTAATTTTATGTGTCAGTGCTGTCGGCTGGAGATCCTGACCAATGATGTCATGGTGCCTCAGGCCCCAGAGGACTCCAGCAATGCCAGACGTGGGTAACTAATGCGTGTACCCTCCCCAATTTGAGTATTGATCGATGGTTCTCCAGCCTGTGGGTTCGGATGAGATATGCCAGTCAAAGCTCTTTCTTACACTTTACCTTCGTGGCTGTCACTGGGACTGTGATCTCATTTCAGATCCGAAGGGAGATATATATGCCCTTGCTCGTCGGCGAGAACTACTTTATTGAAGGATGAAGATACATTGTTTCAAGTGACATCCGTCTTATTATTACCCATTCTGCGTCCGCATCAAAGCCCGTCCAAGCCACATTCGTACTAGTCATACCTAGACTCTAGGGTATATGCGTGTCTTTCCCCTCCTGAGGCATTCGATGCTTCATTTTCCTTAGCATCCCGATTATTTTCATCTCGTCTATATCTGTGTCTTCTGTTGCTTCTCAGGACTTCGAGACCGTCTAACTGCCTCTCTTTCGTCGTGTGTGACACTTATCCCCTTTGCTGACTCTTCTCGTGGAAAAGGTGAGCGTGCAGATTTTTTTATCATGTCCCACCCAAGGAGCCCCCCCTCTCTCCGGCATATTACCTATCGCTGCTGTTGAGGGAGCAGTAGCAGTAGCAACAGCAACGGATCTGAAACATCTGAAACTGCCTACGTGACGCCATTAGCAAGTGACTCGACACCATGGACGACGATGGCGATCCTGGCCCACACATTCTCCTCACATCTCCGGCTGATATGTTGTAGAGTGGCTAAGGCTTTAGGAGAATGATCAATATCAACAAGACTGACGGTGTCTCATAGAGAACAACGCAAGGCAAAGTCGGACCATGCAGCAACCCAAGAACGCGGAACCTACTTTCCCCGTTGACGGAGGAGGATGTCGGCCTCCGGGCGAGACCCACGTTGAAACCCAACGATCGGTGGATCCTAACACGTCTATTGAAGACTATAACCGCGTTATGCTGGAGTATACCCAGCGACGCATGTCGACCTTCCTGGACATGGACGACGGCGGTGGTTCTCCTGCCAGTCGCAGCAGCCGAAGTAGCAACACCAGCGGCAATAGTGCTGTCTCCACCAGTGGTGTGCTGGCCCGTCAGGCTCCAGCTCCCAGCTTTGTGGAAGCCCCTCACCATCGCGGCTCCCAGACACCCGACCATAAGCCCATGAAGCACGCTGGCGAACCGAAGACAGGGCTTTGATTTTCCAAGTTCGTGGGCGACGCTGTGTGACAACGATTACGGAGTTCGTGTTGCGGCATACAATGTCTCTCATATGTCGTTGACGACTAGCCCTGACGATGATTTGGTGTTTCCTTTCTTCGGTGGAAGGAGTGTTGGTGCTTTCATGGGAAGATCAATGGCCAGGAACTCTGTTTGTTCCTGGTCCACCTTCCCGGCGTTCTGATGAGTTAGCGAGGAAGCTTTCTGCTATTACCTAGCGACGGTGAGGCGATGCTTACGAGCGTGCTTCTTTCGATCTCCGTCGCTCCCTTTCTTGTTCAACTGCCCCTTTTGATTCTTTTTATACCACTAGAACAAGCTTGTTTCTGCTCTCGATTACGATGCTTATGTTTTCGGATACCTACTGGGATCTGATACATGCGGCATACTAGAAACCAACCATCTCCGGCAGAGTTCACTTTCGCCTCGAAACCACTTTTGAGGTTGACTGGGAATTCCTCCAAGGTGGCTGCATCAAGTGGCTCCCCCAGTTACTAACTCCCCTTCCACTCTGACTTTTTTTTACCCCTCATTCTCGTTTCTTGTCATTCGTTTGGCCAGATAATGGCGTCCAATCGTTTCGCACTCACCTATCGATTGTAGCTGTTGGGTGTATGTCTTCATATTCTGACAGCAGGCAGTCAATCAACAGATTTGGTACAACTTTCACACCTCATCCCAGGCTATCTTTCCTGGTTCACTCCGATTCATCTTTCCAGGGCGAGAGAGAGTCGAGTCTTTGTGCACACTGATATATCATTACTGCCGGCGTGATTTTTTTCTGGTCGTTCTGGTCGAAAGGGAACTGGCCTTCCCGTTACTGACCATTTCTTGTTACGATGTTACGTCCTGCTCATGGTGTTCTATATGTGACTCGCGGCTATGTTTAGTGGATCGAGCGCAGCAGCTCGAGGTTTATGCATGGTATTAATGTCTTCTTCGGTCAACTGGTTCGATATTAGGATGCCTGTCTGTCTGCCTCCAAGAAGGGCGTCTACCTACTCACGTAAGTTGTTTCGCTTCGCGGATCGACGCTGAACCAAATGTAGATATTGCTTTGAAATATAGGTCCAGAGGAGAGGTAAGATTCGAGTTTCTGGTCTATGTAGTCCCTTGCATGGTCTGGATGGCAATCCCTGACTCCTCGATCGACCATTCTCCTTGAAGGAGTATCACCACTAGCCACCGTGACTCTGAACCTTGTCAGCCACGACAGGTATGTATGGAAGGGATGAGCATGAACCAACAACAACAACTTCGACCTTGATACATATCAGAGACTGCTCACTGTATGAGACACAGGACCATCGCAGTCATATACCTTCAAGATGCCGCTTCAAGGCCAGATTCGAGATTTTCTCATTCGCATTCAAATCGCGGTCTCTGCAGTTTCGTCAGAACAACTCGCGATGGATCTCAGACGCATTCCGGTCATACTAGATCTGAACCAAAACGACATTCCATATAAACAAATCGGTACAGCGTGGGTCCGTTGCATGCTCAAGAACGCGGCTGTTAACACTCGCGCCCATCCCTCCCTGGTTTGGACTTTAGATCTCAATACCATGGTATAGTTCTTCAGTCAATAAACCCCTTCTTCTGTCCACAAGGACAACGATACTTCTACCTCTAATGTCTCGGACAATCGGCCCCTTTAGCAAGTAACCGAACCGACATTTCACCTTCGTCTTCGCTTCGAAAACTTGCCTTCTATCGATTGTATATTCCTCTGACCCATCAACCAGCTCACCTCGCAATCGAACGTCGAACGCTGCGACACGCCAACCACAACCTCTCCTCACGAAAACAGTCATCATCAACCAGAATGCGTCCTCTAACTATCCTCTCCGTCCTCACTACACTCTCCGCCACACTCGCGGTCCCCTTCTCCCACGCATCCAGCTCGTCCAGCGCATCAAAATCGACCCCCTCGTCAACACGGCCAGCGAGTCTGCCCTCGCCGACCCTCAGCCCACCTAATGCTTGTCCCCCAAAGAAGTCCAAGCAATGCTGTGCAACCCTCAGCGAATTCCAGGATGGCCTGCTCCAGCCCTTGGGTGTGGTCGTTCCGCTTCTGAGCGGGATTCAGATGAATTCAATTCTCGGGCTGTCGTGTATGTTCCTTTCCTCCCGCCACCACCTGGTATATCCCACCATTGTGACTGTATATACTGACTGCCCATAATCAACAGGCAAGGGCATGGCCGACACGGCCCCGGAAACCGACTGCGCGGATGCAGTCATGTGCTGTGATTCTTCGGCAGTTGTGAGTACTCCTTCGACCCTAGACTGCAATGCTACAGTCCCGGATTCCAGTTGAGCACGGAATTGGCTGACTCGGTTCTTTCCCAGGGCACGGAAAACATCATGCAGACTTCCTGCGAGGACTTCGAGATCGCGAAGAAGCATGAGCGGGAGGCGATTGAGCGACAGCAGAGGCGGTTTTCGGCTATGGAGCGGATGATGATGTCGCAGTCTGCTACACCGAGCCCGACGCCGGTCGGCCGGATGCGCTCGTCTGTCTCGGGGGCGATGGCGACGCCGACCAAGGTCTAAATGTGGACTTGGTGATGTATGAAGGGGGCATCATGCATTCTTTGCGATTGGAAAGTATGAGGTGGGCGCGTCATTGTGAGGATGTTGGCTGTTCTCCGTCCGCCCCTACCGTGCTTCGGCCTTTTGTTACTTTCCTCTATTTTGTTATGGCATTATACCGATTTTGCAAGGGTTGGAGACTGGATTGTAATCTGGTATTTCTCCCGCAATTATGACTAGAAGTGTCATACTCGTTCGGAATATATTTCTCATGCAATATCAGAACGTAAACTTAATGTACAGTAGATTCTTGACCCGCCTAGTTCTGCCTCCAGCCCCGGCCAGACGGGGGGTATCCACCACCATACTGGTTCCACTGACCCGACGTGCCCCGTCCCTGTCCCCCGGGATGAGGCGGGGGGAAGTGATTTGACCCCGGGGGCATCTGCTGTGCCGAGCCCACGTTCCACGGCGGGAACTGCCCTTGTGCGGTAAAAGGCGGCCGAAATGCAGACGGGTTCATTCCCGCGCCCTGAGGAGGAAATTGCATCGTCGGTAATGGTGGGGGTGGGGGTAGAGGCCACTGGCCTTGATAATTCGGTGGGCGAGGTGGGGGAGCGCCTGGTGCCATCCGTGGGGGAAACGCAGGTGGAACGGGTGGCACGTTCCCGCCCGCGGGATAATACATCGGCGGTGGAGGTGGTGGATGAGAAGGGTGAAATCCTTGAGGCCCTGCGCTGCCGTATTGAGGGCTCTGATGTTCAGGCGGTGGATATCGAGGAGGGGACGGTGCGCGTGGAGAGTAGGACCTCTCTCGGGACCCTGATCTTCGTGGAGAACGAGACCGAGAGTCATAACGCCGGTCATGGCCTTCATGTCTGCGCGGAGCCGATCGGCTACGGGAGCTTGAGCTTCTCCATCGGCTGTCGTCGCTCTCTGAACTGCCACTGTAGCGGCGTCTCCTTGGCGGGCTGCGGCTGCCACTCCGACAGCGGTTTCTTGAGCTGCCCTTGGCTCGTCGTTCTTTCATCTGCTGGCAAAAGGCACGCGACCATCCGTAGTACGTGTCGTCACCCAGAATGTCTCCCGTGGAACTATCTCGGATAATTGTCTGGCCCATTTCGTCAATGTCCACTACTTCGTTCTCTTTCTGCTCTGTTTGTCCCGAGTTGTACATCCGATCGACATCCTTGAGGAATGCCTTGAGCGCCGTCACCAGTTTCTCATCCGCTGGTCCAGCCAGGAACTGCAGAGGCTTGACGGTATCTGGGCGTAGGGGAACCGTCGAATCGGGAATGATGTGCGGGACAAGGTTGCCGGCTGGAAGGTCATAGTAGGGAGTGGAAGAATCTCCGTGGGTCGACGGCATCACGAACGGGATATCTTTCTCCAGGGATCGGTTCATCATATCCGTGTTGTTTTGCTCGACATCGATTGATGACTTGACTGGCCCAGACACGGCCGAGTTCTTGACAACCTCGCGCAGCTTGTTGACATAGTCGGCACCGTAGTACCCATTTTTATCCCATATATCCAGCAGATCGTCTAAGCGCCTGTGATGTTTGGGGTTCTTGGTTCGATCGTAGGATGCAGCGTAACCCAGTAGTTCCACGATGTGTGGTTGTAGTGAACCACTCAGGGTGGAGAATGCCGCAGGGGTGTCCGTATGGTACTTGGTATGATGGAAAAGATCGTTGAGCAGATACAGAATATGCAGCCTCTTTCTTTTTGACGAGGTGCCAGGACGAGACTCTGCCGGCTTGGATGATTGTCCACTTTCCCCGCTGGTAAACGAACTGGACAAAACAACCAGGTATTTGGCCCAGACGCCCACGCGGTTAGATGACGAGACGACATAATCAAGAAGCCATGTCTTGCATTTCTAATACACGTCGGGAGTAAAAGTTTAGTATTCCAGTAACACCGACGGGCAGGACTTGACAAGTCAAACCTGGATGTTCGCTACGGAGCAATGCGACAGCGCCGTGTCAAGCAGAGTGTGGAACGCTGTGATTTCGTCGCGCGGGACAGAAGTGGGATCGGGGCGTAAAAGCGCAGCTGAGAAGGATGCCTTTGCAATGGCAACTTGATGAGAGGCCATTGCTGCGGCAAGTATGAGAGGCAGAGGAGAGTTGACAGCTAGATAAATATGATCGCAGCGACATTTTCGGGTTCGATTGCGGGATCTTCTGTTGCACGTGACCTGCCTTTACATTGCTCGTAGTCTTCAGTCTGTCTACGGTGAAGGCCTTTCAGGCCATCATATTGTCTTAATGGCTCAGGGAGTAGAAAATGAGAACCATGGGTAGATTGTTCAAGATCCACTCCCATTAATTACAAGGAACAGAATACCCGGATGATGGGTGCAAGTTGGAGAGAGTGGCATGATCACCTCGGATGCTGGAGTATAAGTATTTATGCCTCAGGCACTTAAAGTTACCAGACACGGTTCAACAGAGACAAGCTTCTTCCCATGATATGATTTTCACTGGTGTGTCAGGCTCAATAATTTCATCAGCAATAATAATGGCGCATATGGACACTGTCAGCATATGCTGGCTGGCTTCGGAAAAGGAAATCCTGCCATCAGCCCTAACCATGACTCGCCGAGATAATTGCTTCAACGTCCGAAGGTCCATAGACTCCATGGACTCCATGGTCCTAAGTTTCAGGAGAAGGACAACATATCTACCTTGGAACGTATTACGGACCACTGTACGCTTTTCATCGGCCCCGCAGTGATTCGTTCGGCCGGATGTCACGATCATCAGCCTGTCGAATGTCGATGGCGTGAGGATGTACATGTACCTACTTACGTGTACTTGGCCAGGGCCACTGTAGTAAGGTGTCAGGCTCCGGAAAAGCAGCTACCTTTGGGTGTTGTTGTTGTTGTCACCAAGGTAGTCTAGTAGAGAGTCCAAAGTCATCTCTCTCTCTCCAAGAAGCTCAAAAGGTACTTATGAAATTGAAAGAGTGTGACCACTCGGCCCCCGCCTTCCGATCCATCTGCCCTCGGATGTGACGATCTGACTCTGAACTCCGTGGATCAGCTCCGTATCCATTCACAATCATCAATTTTCCGCTCGCGAGAGTCTTTATCCTCTCCTTTTCATGTTCACGCCACTCTTCCTTCCCTGTCATCATCACTCAGAGTGGGTCATTGTTGATGGATCCCCGCAGTCTCCCTCCATCAGGGTTGCAGCTGAGGTTGGATATTGTATGGTGTAAGTACCCTGAGAGTGATTTATATTTAGGCATGTAGAAAAAAAAAAATGATATGATGTTCATATAATCTCGGCTGTCCCTTCAAGATCAAAATTGAGCATCATTTTGCTTTTCCTCGGGCTACCGACTCAACATCGAGTAGAGCTCTCTCGATACTACTGTAGAATCCCTCAGTATACACCTCCACCAGCAGACATATTTCCGACAAAACAAAACACGCCTGAAAGAAAATATAACGAAACTCTACCGACACAAGAGAGCTACCCAGTGCAAACAACCTTTATATTTTAAGCTCACTGTCAAAATGTCCATTTCAATTCCCATCCGTCCAGCAATCCGCCATTTCTCTGTCCGCCGTCCGCCGCCAGATACTCGCACTTCCAGATTCATCGCCAGTTCCTGTCTTGTCTCTGCAGTGCTTCTCCCTTTTGTACCTCCGGCACTGGAGAGCTTCCGCGAAAAGGACAAGGCTTATTCGAACAAGTGACCTTTTCCCTGCACTCTGAACTCGCTAATTCCCTAATCACCTACTGATGTTGTTTCAGACCGCATCCACCTCTTTGCTTCCATGCTCGTTGAAGTACACAAACCATCGGTTTTCGGCACCTTTCGACAGAGGTACTTGCCCATCAATTGGGAAATCGTTGTTACATCCTCCGGCTTGCTCCTCGAGGGCGCTGACAGCGGGTTGCTGGCGGCTTTGACGCAAATATATGAAACGATCAATGGGACTCTTAACGGGGCGGGCCATGCATGGGGTTTCTGGGCGTTACTGGTGTTCTAATATTGCTTCTATGGGGGTTTCAGTGGGATTAATGAATATGCGTATGTTTTCAGTGACTAGTTAAGTCTGAAATACGACACAATATACATCTCAAACAAAGGGCATTAATCCGCGATTCAGGTATTTGCCAGTAGAAGGCCGTGGTAATGTTATGGTGACCGATTACATTCACTGTCACAAATGCATCTGGATGATGACATGACGCCTATACTCCCATTCACTTTTCAGTATCAAAGTTCTTTTGGTGGTAGGGATGATGTGTGAGGTGAAGAGCGTGCAGGAAAAACATAGAAAATATGGTACATAGCTTTTCACAAGGGGGGTGTATTATTTACAACAGTTTAGATGACTTTCTCATACACCTTCCTTTGATGTGCCCTCGGTTGACAAAACGAGAACATCGCTTTAACCGAGTCGGTTGCCCCTCGGAGGTCGAAAGGGCTGAGTAGCCTCATATTTCCCCTTCTCGAGTACCCGCTCGGCATCTGTCTCAGGCTCGTGACGAGTCGGCGCAGGATCATGTCCTGCCTCTGCACTAGGCGAAGCGACATCATCCGCTGCGCTCTGGAAGCGAGCCATGTCCGCCCGTTTCAAGCTGGGGTTTTCTGACGGGGCCGTGATCGGTTCGTTGATAGAAGATTGGCGTCGGTGTTCTGCTTCCATTGCGGCAAGGTGCGCCTTCTTCTTCAATTCTGCTTCATATCTGGATGCTCGGTCGGCATTGATGGACTTTTTGGCAAAGTAGTAGGCTCCGCCGCCAGCTGCAGGCTTGTCAGTTGCTGCTACTCCTCGAATAACATGCAATTGTTGACTAGCGAGGCCAAAGTTAGATGAGAAACTTACCGACGCAAAGAGCTCCCCAGCCGACCCTGTTAACATGCCAATGATGATTTGAAGTTAGCAAGGCGTCTCCTTCTCTCTCCAATTGCTGAATGGAACTGTGCAGATAGTATCCGCTCACCAGGTTGATCGAATCTATATCAAGGGAGAGCCCCGACAAAATCAATGCTTCATGCTCTTACCCATAATAATTATTTCTAGAGCAGTACGTACCGTATTCATTTTCAAAATGTGATTCGAACGAGTTCAATATGCGAAAAATCTAAAGTAGCAGTGCAGATGAAGTGAAATCGAAGTACGGAGTAGCTCGGAGATCTTCACTACGTCAACCGGCCGAAGGCCGCTTCCTCTGCCAACCAATCGCAGTAGAGCTTGGTCCTCCGCCACCCCGCCTGGCCGGCGAATGCCTGAGGCTGTCAAAGAAGAAAGGCGTCATGCTTTCTTATCGGTTTGATTTCTAATATTAATACCTCTCAACCTTTATCCTCATTTCACCCTCATCATCACCTTCGCTGCCCATTTCGGATCGCCCCGCTCGACTCCTCTCTACTCGAATTAGCGGCTCAAGTGTCTGGCGACTTGCAGCTTTTCGAGGAATGAACCATCTCCCGAACAGTTACTTGAGGCGCTGGTAGCCTCATCGAGCATCTGCACTCGTTCACTGAAGATTTCCACATTTTGTAATATAGACGATATATATCACTTCCTGGGGTAGAACAATACTTTCAAACGTCATGCCTCCTAAACGCAAAGCTACTGACAGTATGGCTTCAATGACGAAATATGTCTGGATGGAAGGCTGACCATCAGCTAGGCGGTCGGTCAAGCAGGGCTTCGAAAAGGGCGACTCCTGTGCCGGACATTCAGGATGTCGGCAGCAGCGATGAATACTCGGACTATGTGGATGAGAAGGAAGACAATCTGAAAGGTAGCGCATCTTATATCTGTAACACGCCATGCCAGACTGCTGCTGACAGTCTCATTATATAGATGTCGTGGACAAATTCTCCCTCGAGTCTTTCAGCAACAAGAAAAACCCGTCTGTTACGAAACAAGATCCGAACTTTGGTTACAAAGACTTCTCCTCGCTCGCCCTGAAACCGGACCATGCGAACCGTCCTTTGTGGATTGATCCGCTGAAAGGCACCATCACCCTGGAGAGTTTCTCCCCACTGGCGCCCCAGGCACAAGACTTTCTGACCACGATCGCCGAACCTCTTTCTCGCCCGACGCACTTGCACGAATACCGTTTGACTGGAAATAGTTTGTATGCGGCCGTGTCCGTTGGCCTGCAGCCCGCTGACATCATCAACTTCCTTGATCGGTTGTCCAAGACGCCACTCCCCGAAACCATCAAGTCGTTCATCATTGACTTCACCAAGTCCTATGGAAAGATCAAGGTCGTTTTGAAACACAACCGCTTCTTTGTGGAAAGTACGGACCCTGCGATGCTTCAGATGCTCCTGCAAGATGAGGTCATTGGGCAACAGAGAGTGAATGGTTCGGAAGGAATCATCCAGCAAGCGGCTCCAAAGATGGGTGGGCTTGTAATTCCGGGAACCAAGGATGCTGCGGGCGTAAAACAGACTTCGGAGGAAAAGCCAGCGAACGGCGTGCCGGGCCAAGATCGCAAAGAGGATGATATCCTTCTCGCTATCCGTGATGACGACGACGACGATGAACAGGCCCAAGTGCATAGCTTTGAGATTCCGAACGAAGCTGTGGAGTCGGTCAAAGCGCGTTGCCAGGCCATGGGTTGTCCCGCCCTTGAGGAGTATGATTTTCGAAATGACGAAATCAACCCGACTTTGGATATTGATCTGAAGCCCAATGCCCGGATTCGGAGCTACCAGGAGAAGAGCTTGAGTAAGATGTTCGGTAACGGGCGTGCAAAGAGTGGCATTATCGTTCTACCTTGTGGTGCGGGAAAGACCTTGGTCGGTATCACGGCTGCCTGCACGATCAAAAAGGGGACGATTGTCCTCTGCACGAGCTCCATGTCGGTTGTCCAGTGGAGGAATGAGTTCTTGCGCTGGTCAAATATCGACCCGGGCGACATTGCAGTTTTCACCTCCGACAACAAAGAGAAGTTTCGTCGATCCACCGGTATCATTGTCTCGACGTATTCGATGGTGTCTCAAACAAGAGCTCGTTCCCACGATGCCCAGAAGATGATGGATTGGATCCAATCCCGCGAATGGGGTCTTATGATTCTCGACGAGGTGCACGTCGTGCCCGCATCCATGTTCCGAAAGGTCACTTCGGCCATTGCGACGCAAAGCAAGCTGGGTTTGACCGCGACTCTGCTGCGTGAGGACGACAAGATCAAGGATTTGAATTTCCTCATTGGTCCCAAATTGTATGAAGCTAATTGGATGGAACTTGCTGAGCAAGGTCATATCGCCAAGGTCCAGTGCGCCGAGGTGTGGTGTCCAATGACCACCGAATTCTACTCGGAATACATGAGAGAAAAGTCGCGAAAGGCCGCTTTACTCTACATCATGAATCCCCGAAAATTCCAGGCCTGTCAGTTCCTTATTGACTACCACGAGAAACGAGGTGACAAGGTCATTGTGTTCTCTGACAACGTGTACGCCCTCGAACGGTATGCGCTCAAACTGAACAAAGCCTATATCTATGGTGGAACTCCACAGAATGAACGAATGCGGATTTTGGAAAATTTCCAACACAATGAGCAAGTTAACACAATTTTCCTTTCCAAGATTGGAGACACATCGCTAGATCTGCCGGAAGCCACCTGTCTAATTCAGATTTCCTCGCATTACGGTTCCCGGCGTCAAGAAGCTCAAAGACTTGGTCGAATCCTGCGAGCTAAGCGCCGAAATGACGAAGGCTTCAATGCTTTCTTCTATTCACTCGTGTCCAAGGACACCGATGAAATGTTCTATTCCTCGAAACGGCAAGCTTTCCTCGTTGACCAAGGTTACGCGTTCAAAGTCATCACCCATCTCCAAGGAATCGAGAATCTGGAAGGGCTCGCATATGCCACCCCTGCTGAGCGCCGTGAACTTTTGCAGGAAGTCATGCTGCAGAATGAGACGTCTGCCGAGGTGGAGAATGTCACGGACGATCTCTTCTCGGAGCGCTCCGGCGGACCGAAGGGTAGAGCCAAGGGTGGTGTTAGGAGGAGCGCAGCGACTCTTAGTGGACTGGCTGGTGGCGAGGACATGGCCTATATTGAGTACAACAGGAGTAGGAACAAGCAACTGAAGGACAAAGCAGGCCACCACCCACTGTTCAGAAAATTGGAACGCGAGCGACTGAAGCGGAAGAAGGAGCTTCAAGATATCATGCGGTGATTGTATCATCGAGGAGCAAGTTCAAAAGAGACTGCATCCTTCCGTGTCGTTCTGAATCAGAGTAACCTAGATCTTTTCGAATACATGTCATGGTAACATGAAGCTAGCGAATGAGCTGATCGTCTATTCTAGCTGAATATTGAACACTTCCATCATGTAACCCTGGCGCCTCATCATGGATAGAAATTGTAAGCAGCATGATGGAGACTAGATCTTTTCGTAGATCTAGAAGCGCATGCTTGCTAATTCCTCGACCATCATGCGCTACTGCATGAATACGAGCAGTACCCCGCCCTTTCAACTAGACCCTACAACAATAATCCTAGATATTTCCTGCTGAGCACCTAGCCCTGCTCAGTGTTCAACAGGTTAGAATCGGCAAGAATGTGATGCTGACATATCGATAACCTCAAATGACGTCGTCTCGGCCAACCAAGCACCGAGAGGCCGAGTCCTCCGCTCGTTTACGAGAGGAGAATGTCATGGGTCATGGCTCCTGGAGAGTCAAATAACCAACTTCAACTAATGAATGCATTTCCATTCGTCCCCGGACGATGAATACAGCTTAATGATCTACAGGGTCATATGCTGGTTTATTCATGCATCGACCACGAACGGGGTCTAGATGCGTTGATCTATGTCGTCAATCTGTCACATTTCGTTCGTCAGTGCTTGAGAGAAAGAATATATTAGGTCCAGTGTGTCCGGGCTTCAGTAGAGTGCCAGCTTCTGTTGCAGGGCGTGGAAAACTGGTTTCCTTGCTATCTGTTACACGAGTGAGCCTTTCGGCTGCTGCGTCTAAGCGTATATATCCGAGGTCTTGTCTTGCGCGGTACTCTTGTCCTTCAACGAACATACCTGGCTTGATTGTCGGTCGCAAGAGCTCAACGATGGCGACGGCAAAGAAGATTCAGTTGTCGACGGCCGACTCGGGCATTTTCAGCGTGGCACTGAGCGAGGACTCGGCGCGCGCAGCGAGTGAGGTGCTGCAGGAAGATCTGGAGAAGCACCATGCGTTCTTCAACGAGAGGGGATTCCATAGTAAGTCTGCGGGTTGGGTTTCCGACAACTCCAAGGCAACTAAAGTCTAACATTGCCTTTACTTCTGCGCAGATCATATTGTTCACCATATTCTGACGATCTATGCGCTTGGTGCGACGCCGGATGAGATCAGGGCTGCTTATGATCGGGATAAGACGTACCAGAGGCCTGTCATGCCGACCACCCTGAGTGTTGTTGAGTCGTTGCATGACAAGACCCGGTTCCAGCAGTACCTCGGCAAAGAAGAGAATTATCCCAATTACTTGGCTTTCTTTCAGCAGGAGATCGAGAGGAGAGGTGCGGCGGATGTGCTTAACGAGTATCTGTTTTCAGGGAGTGAGTGTGCCGAGAGTATGCTTTCGCGGCTGTTTGGTGGTGAGTGGACATGCAATTGTTCAAGTTATTCTTTGAATTGACAGAGATGTTAGGACTCCTTCATCCGCTGATTCACCTTGGGTTCGGGCTTGAGTTCGACCAGCCCGCAATTATCGCTGAGGGTCTCGCACAGACCGCAGTCCATGAGGATTGGATCGGTCTGTCATACCTCCTGCCGGTAGAGAAGGCCGCAGGAGGGATCGGCAAGCCGGGGAAGAAAACGATGCTGCAAATCTTGAACGAAACGCGCGCTGATAGAAAACTGGCCGAATCCGTCAAATGGGAAGATGGGAACAAGATCAGAGACGGTGTTTTGAAGCGGGCGCCAGATGAGATGATTAAGTACGCAGCACAATTCTCCGTCTCCGCCGAGCAAATGGAGGAAAAACTTGCTGAAGTTCTCAATGTCGTCGGTAAGCATCGCTGCCTTCCGAGAGCTCATACCAGCTATTACGACGAGCTTCCAGATCAACGATGGTTAACTACCTCTGCAGCTTACTTTACAGGTGCCGCTCAGCATCCGCCAAAGCAGATCAAGCTTGATTTCTTCCTTATGCACTGCGTGACTTCATCGATATTCTTTTCCAAGATCATCACTCTTCCATATCTGGATACGCGCACCAAGCTTCGTCTGCTTGAGTGGAAAGGCCGCGTAGATCTGGCGTTCTACGTATCCCGAGGAGCTCCCGAGCTGCTACTGGACGAAGTGACTACATACGAAACTCCGAACGACTGGGAGACAATCTTCCATGTGAGCAGTGTGAACCCGCGCGACGACGGTCATTTGTCCAAGCTGGTAAGAGCTCTGGCAAATGGGGAGAAAGCCTGTCGTCCATTTGAGGCTCGAGCAGAGGAGCTAGGGCTTCTGATCACCGGTGATATGTGGCTCAAGATTGCAAACATGGGTGAGCGAGACACCTGGATTAGCTGTACCCTTGAGACTATGTTCCAGAGCATTGCTGATTGACCATTTTCATAGCTATCGGTTCAACCAAAGCCGATCAGGTGGAAACAATGTGGGTTCGCTCGACAGGGTTCGAAGAGGCATGGAAGGATTTCCATGATCGACCTCACCTATGAGACGGCAGCCCATGGAAACTGAGTGTTCCAATGATCAATCAATCCATTAGGCCGGCACCACAACTGACAGAGGGCTTGCCGACTTGAGGAGGCTACGGTCATGCAATTCAACTGTCATTCCATGTCACAACAGCGACTCAATTCGAGACAATTTGTTTGATTTCGAGTACTCCACCTCGGACGTTGAAGTATGGTTTGAGCGATTTGTTAGTCTAGTATTTAGCTCTAAATCAAGGCGGGTGGGTCTGCCTAGTAAAGCTGCAATAATAAATGTCTTAATCCGAATAATCCGATTCCCAACAAGCCAACCGAAGTTAAACCTCGGATTATGCTCTTACCAGCCTCGAGATTTTATGTCATGTTGGATGAGATCGTAGGTAGTTAGTCTACTTCTCGAGATAGTCAAGTATTTCCATCATCTCATATTGTGGGCTCGGTCGAAAGATGCAGAAAGAACCAGAAAGTTTGCCGTGTTTGCAGTGACATCACGTGGTGATTACGACTCGAGTACAAGTGGGGCGATCCCCAACAGCTTCAGACGACCCAGAAGGTATCCTGACTTTGATGAGTCGGCATTTTCGCATCCCTACACGTTCGACGACAGTTTGAACTACGTGCGCGGAACATCCATTCTTCAGCATTATGGCAGGCGAGGAAGAAGACATCAACAGGAAAAACAACCCTCCTTCATCCACCGAAAGCTTCCACGACCACAACCCGTTCGTTGCGTTCCGGCGTTATGCTGATGAACAGATCTCGTCCATGCTGCAGTCTGTAATGGGCCTTCCGTCTTCGGTCTCCCCTCCTCATTCAAATCACTGGGCTATCTTTACCGAAGAAAACAATTATAGAGAGTCCAACTACCGCCAGCGACAGACTGGCGGAGGCAGGGAAGGGGACTTTCCCTCGAGCTCCGGAACTGGCGCCTCTGGAAACACAGACAACATAGATCAGGAGGACAAGCCACCCGCGAGCTCTCGGCGGCCGAGGTCTGACGATCCTTGGCGTTCACATCACCATGGCCGATTCGACAGACCCTCCGAACTCTTCGATTTTGATTCCTTCTTCGACTCTTTCTTTGATCGATTCTGGTTCGATGATCACTTCTCCTCCCGCTTCTTTCATCCCTTCCATCAGCCATTCTTCTTTAACATGCTGAACGACGACTCCGCAACTTGGCCCCTGGCATACTTGATGTTCAGTCCGTACTCGCCACTGCATTTGGAGCGTCAGGCATCCTACCGAGCACACAGAGAGCGAGGGGTATTCTCTTCACTCATGTCATCATTGAAGCCTTCTTCTGCACGCGACCCGGCCGAGCCGCAGTGGCGCGAGGCCTTTGAGGATCTTCTACGACTCGAGAACGGAAAACCGATGCTGGACCGCGAGCCCAGTACAACACTGGCCAAGAAGGAATCCGGGACCGAATGGCTGAAGGGCCTGGTGCAACGCGGCAGCCTTGGCAACCGGTGGAAGTATGTTTCAGGAACAGATGGCCAGGGTTGGTCAGGGATCACGCTCGACAGTATCGAGCCTACAGACAAGGAGCGCTCTCGACCCGATGAGAGTCAGACAGAGCAAACACAGGCTGAAGCCAATTGGAAAGATACAAAGCCCACACCCGAAACCGACCTGGATATGTACGACCAATTCCTTTCAGATATTGAAGCTCGCGAGCGCGATTTCTTTAAAGGAGTTTATGAAAGTCCCCTTCTGCGCTCTCTCTTGGAGGAGAGACGGAGGCTGAAGGATGAAATCGAGCCGTTTGAGAAAGACAGCTGGAGCAAAGATACCGATTCTTGGATAGATCTCGTTTCTGGTGGAGACAAGAGCACCGTTCCTGAGACTGCGCCCCGATCGACCTCAGGGGCATCGACCGCTTCGGAGGCAGGTCTAACGAGCTCAGCTACTGAGCAACAGCCCTATGTAATTTCCACCCGGACGACGACAGAGCGCGTTCGCCTCTCCGATGGTTCGATCCAGACCAAGACTGTGAAGACCAAGCGGTTTGCAGATGGCCGGGAAGAAACAAATGAATCCGTTGAAGTCATGAATCCGCCTCAAAATCCTCAAGATTCAGTTGCTGGCCAGGAGTCTCTTGAGAATCAGCAGAAGAAGAGCGGCTGGTTTTGGAGAGACTGAGATTAAAAGCATCATGCCACTACTCGTCCCATGGCGTTTTCATCTCTTTTGTCTTTTATCGTTTCGCATCTGGATTTAGCGTTTGCTGGCATTTTTTCTTATTTTATTCTTGTCAATCCTTTGTCATCTCATTGGAATTTCTAAGATTTCTTGATTTAACAACAAGCTCTCAGATTTGAACATATCATACTTGAATTACTATCCTCTGGTGTTTGGCGCTGCAATACGGGGATGATATATGAACAGTGGATGAAATTGGCGTCCGATCACTGCATCACAATCAAAATTTTCTCACTGATATTAAATGAAAGTATCTAGGTATATCGATAGGATCCAGACTGCCAAATCAAATCGAGTCATTTATTCTCCATCTTTGTACAGGTGTGACTGGTTATGGAAGCAGGTAGGAAGCGTGGCACTCAGTCTGCCTTGACACTCTTCTTCTGTGCCTTTCCGGCAGTCCACCCTCTGGATTCCCAGTACTTGACACTCTCTTCCATCTTCTTGTAGGCCCATGTAAACGGCGGGTCTAGTGGAAACGAGTCAGCGTTAACCCTAGCCAGGCAAACACTCAGTCTGGGAGAGCAACTTACACAAGAACTGCCGAAGATCGTGTCTGTTATCTTCAGGGGAGTATTGCTCTGCATGGTAGCTGGGCGTCAAGACAGTCATCTTGTGCCGGTTGATAGCGTAGTGGTAGAAGAAGTGACGGGTCTTCTCATAGATCTCGCGGGGGCTGTACTCGTTTCCCCAGACGTGGAGCAGCTTCTCGTACATTGACCAGGGTCCCAATTTTGCGACCTTGCGCAGGTAGCCGAATGTGCCTAGTTCGGCGTATGTCACGCCCATGTCGGCCTCGTCTGACTGGACGTAAGTAGCTGTGATAGGCTCCAATTCGGCGGTTGGAGTTGCTGTTAGAAATTCCTGCAGAATTGGAAGTTCGAATGAATCGCGAGCCCAGGCGATGAACTTTTTGAGGTCGACCTTGCTTATCGACCCAATAGGATTCAACTATTTCGCGATTTTTTAGTGCTCAAGTTACCAAACAAGAAGGTCTCTGGGCTTGCTATACTCACGTCGGCACTGCTTGCATCGTATTTGGTCAGGTAGCCACGCAAACTAGAAAATGTTAGCCGGTACCAACCACGGAAAATGCAAATATTGCTCCGGCTGTTTAATGCGTTGCCGCTCGCACGTACCATTCTAGAGGACTGTTAGTGGACTTGGACTTTCTACTCACGAAATCACTAGTATCTCTTACCGTCTACATTGGAAGATGCGAGCACAAGAAGTCCACCTCCACCTGGACGTTGGCGAACAGTTGGGAGCAGCGAAGCAAACAGGTACGACAGGACCATTCTCAAACGAGCCTGGACATTCTGCAATGCCGCATTTTCTGCACCACTACCGCCATGAACTTTGAACCGGGGTTGGAAATTTGTGACCACTGTGAATAGGTTCGAGATGGCAGTCACAACAGTGTCGAAGTTGAAGTCGAGATGATAGGACCCAATCTCGGTAGAGAGCCCTTTGGCCCGCTCCCTTGTTTCCTTACTGGAATTCTGGGTGCCCATGTAGCTAGTGTGGAATATGCGGCTAGATCAATGTTAATTTTCTTTATGTTCAAAGCAAGTCACAAGAGGCCGATGTCTAAGGAGCGAAACTTACTTGCATACTTCCTGGCTTGTGCTGGGAAGCCAGGTCGAGCCCTCAGGTTCTGCACACAGCCTACGGACATCTTTGATGACTTGCTGGTTTCCCTCCGAGACTGCCTTGACGACTTCTCTGCACATAGAGTGTACAATAATAGCTGTAGCACAGCTGTCAATACCTCCGCTAAGGGGAAGGAAGAAACCAGCAGCGCCGCTTCTTCGCAGATAATCCCAAAGCCAACAAGCTGGGCCGAGGGCAATCTCTTCCTCTGGAGCGTGGTACTTTGCTGATATCGTCTCAGATGGGACAAGGCCGGGCTCGGCATTATCGTCCGAACGGGAAAGCCTTACGTCGAGATCAAGCCGAACGAACGGAGGCTGCCTGCTAGCTTGCATGTTGCGGCTAGAGCTAGTGCGATAGGTCCGAACCTGCCTGTCATCAGTAACAGAGACAAGAGTAAGACAGTTTTAGGTGGCAGACTTCTTCAATATCAACAGTAGCCGTGATGACCTCCACATCATTCAGGGAGAATTGAGAACCCTGGGCAACAATATTCCCGTTGACAACAATCATTGCACAGCCATCGTAGTAGAGTCTATCACCATCGCAACCTTGCTGATTGGCGTAGAGATAGATGCCTCCGCTCTATGTCGGACGTATTAGTTCGCGCAACTAGAAAGTAAACAAGCAACACATTTACCAGCTTGGTAGCCTGCGTGATCAGATTCACGCGAGTGTCAAGCTTCTTCAGCTCATGATGGCTTCCTGACGAGTTTGAAATAATCTCAACACCTGGAGGCTCTGTGAGCAAATGCTTGTTAAGCAATAACATACGATCAATATTTACCAGCCAGGCCGTACGGAATATGAGGACTTGATTTAAGAAAGTCAGTCAACTTGGTCAACAGCTGTATAGGTCAGCACATACCCATTAGGAGTAAAGAGTTCTTCGCAGGTTTCAAGCCCTAAGCACGTGTCCCGTGTGCTGATGACCGCGTCACCAAAAGGCACCTTATATTGGCCGGTGATTTTGCCCACAATCTGCTCCAGGTAGTAATCTTCAATCTCGCGAGGGCGCTGCCATGGGGTGAAATGTCTAAGCTCTCGGTAGTTACCGTCTGATATCGCAGCAACATCGTTAGTGAAAAGCCGTGGTTATGTGAGGAGCGAAACAATGAGGAAGAAGAACTGTATACCATTGGCAAGCCACATCTTCGGGCGAATGAGGATAATCTTTCGATTGTAAAAGATCACACTACGCTCGTTAGTTTAGGATTCCAACAGAGTAGGACCCAACTCACCGGCAATTGTATCGCACGTTCCGATGCCGAACCGGCATGCCAACATCAACCACAATGTCTTGACAGTCAGGGTGATCAATGATACGAGCCAGCATTTCCCACGAATGCAGAAACGTATCGCCTTCTAGAAAGCCGTCGAGAACACCATATCCTGGAAATAGTCAACAACCATTTGGTGAAAGACATGACGGCGCTCAATCCATACCGGTGATCTCGAGCTCCGGACCAACACGCAGAGTAGCCCCGGCCGCTTTGGCTTGCCGAATACTCTCAATGATACGTTCAGCATTTCCTTCAAAATCCAAAGCCCATTGGTTGAGAGAGCTTTGTATGAGCACAAGTTAGCATAAATCCTTTTCAAGAATAGAAGTCATCGATTGAAAGACAGCGACATACCATGTTGCGAGGGTGACAAGATGCCCCATCGTGACTCAGCTTGCAACTTTCCGGTCACCAGTTGAACTAGCTTTAGTATCAAGAAAGATTGAGACACCAATAGACGCCTAGGTAGGATACTTATAGGTTAGCCCGGAAGTACGCATAAAGAGACCTCGCCAGCCAATAATTGCTTGCATAGAACTCCCTGCTCAGAGCCCTGGCAAAGGAGCCAGCAAGATATCATGATCAAAACAAGCCAATGCAGCTTTTCTGGGCCATCAATGAAGAACAGTTACCTTTCACAAAGACAATACTGTGTCTGACCTGAGTCAACTCTATCTAGGTCCACTTTCTCATAAAGCAAATGCGTATCAGATAAGAATTGGAGACTGCGCGGACAGTAACCATGAACCAGATCACGTGTGTGGGGAGCTTTCCTAACTAGTTTCCTTTTGTGCCCCGCGGCTGTTTCTGTATTACCATTGATCATGATTCCCAAGGCGAAACCCCCCCGATTTACGGTAATAATAATTACGAGATCTTCCGCCGGAGTTCCCGCCGTGCTCATCCTCGGCCAAAAAACCAGATGATTATTAATCATCCCTTCTCATGAGGGACAACTCAGAAGGAGTGGTGCTAGTGTGATAATATCGGGCTGTAAGTTGTATCTCATCCGGAAGTTCTATCCTCCTTGATTATCCTCAAGATTCAGAATAGCGACTTGTTGATATTTATCGAGGATTGCAGAGACGAGCGGAATACATCCCAGCAACAGCACTATGACCAACTCTCCTCAGATCCCCACACCCGCCCACATACTGGCTGACTCCATGCTGTCGCGGCATTTTGGAAGAGAAACGGTGAACTACTTTTCTAGTGAGGATCTCTTCTGTGGCATAAATGTCTTTCTGTTCGATATTCAACTGACACTTACAGGTTCGCCTCTAAACCGGCTCTCATTCTTGCGCTCTGAGCATTCTTTCCTCTCGGCCGCCCTTAAGCATCCCTCTACTCACTTTGTACTGCTGAAAGACCTTGCGCCTCTCACCAAGAGTCCTTCTGAACTGTATTACGCAAAGTATGACGAAGTACGGAAGCTTGTGCCCGAGGACGCCTTCGACAAATCTGAGGAGGAGATGATCAAGCAATTTGACTCTCGAAAGACAAATGCCCAGCTCATTTTCCTGGGACTAGATGAAACCAAGAAGCAGGGTGGATTGGCTTGGAAGATCTACACTGGAGCTCCTTATTTCGCTTTGGATGTGACGCCGAAAGGTTCGGAGGAGCAGCAAACGCACGCGAAGGACATCATCAGCACTATGGAGGCTCAAGGCCTCAGCTTCTACCAGTCGAGAGTGGTGATGACTTTTTCGGCGGACGAGGGTATGTGAACCACCGACAGCGACAACTTTGAGAAACTCACTGATCTGACTTGCGACATCCAGCTGCCATATATGCGCAGGCCCGTGCGCTGATTGACTGGAACACCCGGAATACGTTCTGCGGCACCTGTGGTCACCCCACGCTTTCCGTGAATTCGGGGACAAAACGTGCCTGTCCGCCGACGGATGCTGCTCTCGCAGAAGAAGGAAAGGCGCGACCTGACTGCAACACTCGCACAACGTTGTCGAATCTTTCCTTCCCCCGCACTGACCCGACAATCATTGTCGCTGTCCTCTCGGCCGACTCTAAGCGGCTTCTTCTCGGCCGCTCCAAGCGCTTCCCGCCGAAATGGTACTCAACACTGGCCGGTTTTATTGAGCCCGCAGAATCGGTCGAGGACGCTGTTCGGAGAGAAGTGTGGGAGGAAGCTGGTGTCACGCTTTCGCGTGTCGTGATTCATTCATCTCAACCATGGCCGTACCCTGCCAATCTTATGATCGGAGCGATTGCTCAGGTCAGCGATCCCGAGCATGAGAAGATTAGTCTGTTGCATGACCCTGAGCTGGAGGATGCAAAGTGGTTCGAAATTGAGGAGGTCGAGGAAGCCTTGAGGATCGGAACAAGTCCATTGGGAGAGAAGGCTGGTCCCGAGTACAAGGGTGGTCTGAGACTCCCTCCTCCTACCGCCATTGCCCACCAGCTCATAAAGGCAGCCATCACGGGAGACTTCATCTATTCGAAAGATTCAAAGATGTAGTGGATCTGGCGTCTCTTCCCGGATCCACAAGTATTCACGGCTTCTCAGCAATGCTGTATATATCAGTGCCTTGTATAGACTCTAATACGTCCATAGATCATAGCATATGTACGAGGACAGAGCCATAGACCAGGGAATTTAATGACACACATACTTGTGAACAAAATTGTTTGATAATAATACCTTGCTTTCCAGCTATTATGAGGGCCTGTGATTCGATCGCCATCTCCAAGAAGCCAGCTTCCAGTACGATCATGTATGAACCATCAAACCCAAGAAATCTACCCGATCGACATCGAGGGCCTGACCACGAACCAAATACATCACAAGATTATCAAGACCAAGAAGGTGAATCAGAGATTTGCATACAGAGTCCCGTCCCTGAGTTCATGTATACTTTCTTTGTCGGACGGCGATCCGACCTCGGCATACCTTCTTCCATCCCTCAATTCGTGGATTGTTATCCTCCGGTGGGATTTTCTTCGTTTCGAGCCTCTGTTAGAGACAGATGATTCCCCGCGTACTTCTCGAGATGCCGAGTCAACGCTACCTGCGTCGCTGTGCGCAACACTACCGACAGGTGTTGCCTCTCTGCTAGCCGTCTGTACCGAAGCTTGAAGCTGGTAATCCGCTACCATGGCAATCCCAACTTCATGGTACCATTGTTGTAGGTCAGTGGCGTATGCGTTTTCCTCATCGCCGTATTCGACTGGAGGTCCGGCAATTTGCGCTTCTTTGCTGGAGTTGTGGAACACAGCCCATGCGCTAGTGTCGACGCTGACGAGCATCATAGAGTGATTGAAGCTTTTGACCTGGAAGTTGCGAAGCAATATGGCGTCGCCTTCTTCTACGGAAGGAAGTGCAGATTTATAAGGGCGAAAGATTTGTGCAGGAATGATGGTGCCTGCCATCGATGGGTCGGTAAGCTGGAGTGTCAACGTAAAGTCTTTCTTTCCTGAAGTGGCCCGACTGGTTGGGGAAACCTCGGACACAACAGAGATCGTGTCCGTCAGCGAATTGTAATGGTCGATAAGCGTAGCAAGAGGAGCGAAGTAAGAATATTTGCTGCGCAAACCGGGATGGTGACGATTCACAACCGAGGGCATTCTTTCCAATGGCTGTGCTGAAACACCCCAATCATGAACTTCACTTGGGGTTTCGTCTCCAATGGAAGACATCACATACTCTTCATCATGAACAGATATTCCGTCGCTCTGAGTCTGCTGTTGCTGTCTGCCCAGAGTCGAAGTCATTCGCACATTATACTCGTTTGTTGACGATATATCAGTCTTTATGGATGTGGTGGATATGTGCAACGGCGTTTGTTCCAGAGCATCGGCATGACCGTCGTATTGGGAACTGAAACCTTGGGCTAACTCCTGCGTCTGTTCGGGTGTCGGTAGAAAGTCACCGATTGACATGGCGGTAGGAAGATGATGAGGAGCGGTCAATTGCGAAGCATCCGGAGTGACAAGCTGTTGAGCTTGGGTTGAAGACGCCTGGACACGAGATGCAAGCTCTGCAAAACCGTCAACTAGTTGTGGGGAAGCAGCGCCATCGTTGAATGGCTCACTGATACCCTCATTCTCCAAGCCAGGCTCTTCCGGCCCTGGCTCAGCGTGAGCATCGGCCTCCGGGTTGTGAGTTTCATTCTCACGAGTACCTAATCGATACAACTCGGGGTCAATTGCCAAATCCTGAGGCCGCGGGCCAGATCTAGAATCGGTATAAGGTACTTGTGCGGATTGCGCGACAGAGGCACCAAGATCGGCGATGTCCTGACCCTCTGGGTTTTGTGGTACCCCCGAAGTTGCCTGTAGCACCTCGTTATGTGTGCGGGAAATAAAGATCTTTTCAATATCAGTTTCTGGTTGGACTTCGCCTTGCACTGAATTTTGTTCGCCATCCGACAGGACTTCCATTCGCTCTTCTGCCACAAAATCCTCCTCTGAAGGCGCATCCTCCATGAGTTCATCTTCACCATTATCGCGCGCAGCTATCTCCTCCGGCATAGACTCTTCTTCCGCTTCGTCATCCCCGGTTTGGTCATCCTCAGCCAGCTCATCTTCGACTTCGGGCCATTCATCTGCTTCCGAACCAACAGAGCTTCTGTCATACACCTCATCCTCTTCAGCTGATGTTGCAGACGACTCTACATCATTCGCCGTAGCAGCATTTGCAGCCGATACCGTATGAGCTTGGATCGGAGCACTGACAGCAGGCTCGTCTTCGCTGTCGCTGTCCAAGACAATGACCTCTGGATGAACAACTTTCTGCGGCCTGGCTGGGGAATCTGTATCTGCATCTAAACCGGATTCAGATTCCACACGGTCATAGTCATTCTCGTACGCCTCTTGCTCGTCTTCAAGCTCCGATTCTTCTTCTTCTTCTTCTTCCTCCTCCTCATCCAATACCTCCCGCTCATCTCCACCCTCGAGGTCCTCTTCATCGAAGGTTTCTTCGTCCTCATAATCGCCTTCGTGTTCGTCTTCGCCGCTCTCGTCTTCAAAAATATGGCTATGAACCTCTTCTTCAGCGGCATGTCGTTCTGCAGCCGAAGAGGCTTTAGATTCGGTGTCGGAGCCATCGTCGTCTTCCAGCGCTCCTTTGGTGAGAACCGCAATCTCCTCAACCTCGGAATCCCCATAACGCCTAGTATCATCTTGGTAAAAGTCATTGACTCCGAAGGATTCGGTTGGACGTTCATTTCGTTGTCTTTGAACATCCTCATATCCATACTCTTCGACTAATTCATCTTCTTCTTCCTCAGCTGATTCCTCCTCTTCAAATGACTCTTCTTCTAACTCTTCTTCTGACTGTTCTTCCAACTCATCTTCGCTGCTTTCATTATTTTCTTCGTCCTGAACTTCTCTGCGCTCTTGTTCAAGGTCACTTTGTTCTGATTCTTCCTCGACGACCTCCCTAATATCGCCACTCGCGACCTCGGCGCCCTTCTCCGCAGATGACTGACCCAAGGAGACCGCTGGGACGATGGATATTGGCTTCTCAAGTTCTCCCTCGCGACGCGCAGCTTCTCTACCCTCAAAGAGCATCGCGTTGGCTGCTGAAGTGTCCTCCATGCCCCTTTGACCTCCTGCTTCCAAATCGATAAAAGCATCTTGAGACGCTAAAACGGATTGATCCCTTGCAGTGGCCTGCTGAGAAGTCGTAACAAGCGCTTCCAGCTCTTGTCTCGTGGAAACGTCAGGCTGGACCTTAGATATGATGTTGTTTTCTTCTTCAGTCATCTCCACTTCCTCTCTCTCTGCAGCGGATTGATCTAACGGTTTTTGCATATTGGAGGAAACAGGTGGAAAGTAGTCATGTACACTACTCGACGTAGTGACTAGTGGAGATGGAATCGGCAGTCCGGGAGAAGGAATAGGATACAGGCGTGGCGTGTCTGTTGGATATTGGACATCGGAACCTGTAAAATTCCGTCTGGCAAGGTGTTGGGCAAGCCCAGACGCACGTAGTGGTTGAGCAAATTGAGGACTTGCCCTGGTTGACTGTTCGGTCAATCGTTCTGGGCTCGTTACAGCAACATCAAGTGATTCATGGTCCACGTCTGCGACGGTATCGGCGCTTTCTGCAGCATTCGGCACCGTAGCGGTCGCTGTGGATATCTCTTGAGGTAGTGCAGCACTGTTTATATGGTCTTCTCCACCAATATCGACCTCGTGAGTTCCATCTTCTTCAAACATCCACGCCCAATCTGCCGGTACCCCTTTCTCTCCAGGACTTGCGGGTTCGTCAATGACACGCCAATCAGCGCCTCGTAAACTAAATCGAGGTCGTTTCCGGCCTTTTCCAGGAATAAACCCATCTTCTTCTGCGAATGGATCATAGGCCGAATCCACGAGACCACCAAACGATGTACGTGTTCGCTCGACGAAGGCAGGAGATCTCCAAGCTTCGAGTCTAGGAACCGAAGTAGACTCGCCGCGATCAAGACGTCCATTAGCTATGGGTATAGCTGGCGGCGCAATCGTATCTTCTGTCTCTTGTGTTGGAACTGTAGAAGGGTCAAGTTTCACGGTCGAGAAGTGCTGGGACGAGCGCCAGATCTATAGCTTTGATCAGTTTACCACTGCTGTACCCTCTTTGCTACGCACTCAACGCACCTCAAGTAGCACGCGATCATCAATGTGTACATCCCAAGGCACACACTTTCCAGGCGTCTGAGCTGCTGCCTCACTGGCCACGAATTTTGACCCAGCCAAGCCTAGATAAACATGGTCGCCAATTCCAACCTGAGACTTGGCTACAGCTTCTGCAGCACATCCAAAAAAGACCACTTTTACTTGACCATTGTTTCGTCGGAGGCGAAAGTCGGGCTCAGCTAACAAAAGGCTGAAAGATTTTTTCGAAGACGAGTAAGGCCATACCAGGGTAACGATCGCGTGTATTGAGCGTTCAAAGATCCGATCGGCTTCTGGAGAAATCTGTGCAATAGATATGGCAGTCGAACGCAGGGGTTCAGAAATCGGAGATTGTTCGTGGGAGTTCATCGTTGCGGCCGCGGAGCGGAATCGGTCATGCCTTGATCAACGAACGATGTTGCATCTTCCTTACTGTTGAAGGAAATTGCTCATTCAAAAAGGTCAGCTGCAAAGAAGAAGCGAAAGTATTAGAGCAACAGCACCATGCCGCTTTGGTTGGAAGACCCACGAACCCAAGGAGCGAACGCACGATGAATTTCTTTTGTTTGTTGCGTGAAGCTTCCAAAGGCTTTGAGTTACATCACCGAGGCCGGTAATGTCCTTGTAATTATACCATACGACAGCCCTTTCAACAACGAAAGGAGGCGTAATCTATGTATTGTTCGAAACATGACTACCACATTGGCTCTTGAAGGTTCTATGGGCTACCGAGAAATTTCAAACGGAATATCCCTGGTGCTAAAGGAAACAGGAGACGAGTCCACACAATCCTGTGCTTAATATATCTGATTGAACCCTTTTGTCAGACGCGGAAAGGCCGAATCACGGCGTTGAGGCGCTCAGTGTTATCAGCGGGGCTGAATCGCCGATGAGATACATCGGATCCTCCAAAGGGTTACTTTTAAGTCCTACTCAGCATCCTGCAGTCTGCACACACTCGGCCAAGAAGCCGGCTGCGGAGCTTTGTTTCTCTGATGCTCCTTGTATCAGATCCATCTGATACTCATCCTAACAAGCCCCCTGACCATGACGATCTCAGTGCCAGTACGTCGGATAGCCGTGATCGGTGCCGGACCGTCTGGTCTTGCTGCGGTGAAGTACGAGGATTTCCGATCCTGTGACTCATCCTGCGGTCACATCGTTTAGTCTTTTACTTACAATGAATTAGATATCTCCTCGCGGAGAAGTGCTTTGATAAGATAGATGTCTTTGAACAGAGAGGCTCAGTTGGCGGAGTCTGGAACTATACTCCCGGTGCCTTGAAAACAGGCCTGGTGACTCGGGTGCCACAATTGAACCCAGATGTACCACTTGAAGAGCCTATATGGCATCGAACTGGGGAGACAGAGGAGACACGTCAGCTCACCTTCATCTCTCCCATCTATAGCACCCTGGATACCAATATCCCGAAAGAACTGATGGCGTATGGTGGCAAACCATTTCCTGCTGACTGCCAAGTCTTACCGAAGTATTCTACAGTAAAGAAATATCTGGAAGAATATGCAGAGGATGTTAAAGACCTCATTCAGTTTGAAACTCAAGTACTTGATGTCAGACTAGAAGACCCGACCAAGAAGGCTTGGGTGCTGACAACAAGAAATCTGCGTACCGGGGCTAAGCAGACTGGAACCTATGATGCGGTAGTGGTAGCCAGTGGGCATTTCGACGTGCCATACCTGCCGGACATCACAGGCATTGGATCTTGGAATGAGAAATATCCGGGCGTGATTTCTCATTCCAAGTACTACGATTCACCAGAACAATTTCGTGACAAGAAGGTCATTGTTGTTGGAAGTTCAGCCTCCGGGATAGATATCGGAGCTCAAATAAACCGGGTGAGCAAGGGCAAAGTGCTTGTTTCTCAGCGAACAGAGTCGTTCTTGACGCCTTCTACTCCCGCGGACAAGATCTACTTCCCCGAAATCGTGGAATTTCTCCCGCCAGAGTCTCATGAACGAGCAGTACGCTTTGCAGATGGCAGGGTTGAGACGGACATCGATGCCATTGTTTTCTGTACCGGCTACTTGTACTCATTCCCGTTCCTGTCGTCTCTCGACCAGCCTGTCATCGGGGATGGTCGCAGGACTCTGAATACCTATCAACACCTTTTCTATATCTACAATCCTACCCTCGTGTTTCCTGTTCTTCCCCAAAGAGTGATTCCGTTCCCATTATCGGAAAATCAAGCGGCGGTCTATGCCCGGGTTTGGTCAGGACGCCTTAATCTGCCGTCAATAGCAGAGATGAAAGATTGGGAGGAATCGACCGTTGCTACAAAAGGAGATGGCACAAAATTCCATCTGATGCACTTTCCCTTGGATGCTGATTATATGAACTTCCTTCATCACTGGGCAGATATGGCCAAAACACGCCCAGGACTGGCCAATAGTGGCCATGGCAAGCAATGCAATTACTGGGGGATGAAGCAGATGTGGATGCGGCAAATGTTCCCCGAGATCAGGAGGGCCTTCGTTGAGAAGGGCGAGCAGCGTCGCAATATCAAATCCATCGCAGAACTTGGTTTCGATTATGAGGATTGGAAGGAAAGGCAAGAATAGAGATGTTGCATGAACTATAGACATAGCCTGAATAGAGCATAGGCAGAACTCTCGTCCCTATTGGATTTCCTCTGCAGTAATTGCGTACCCTGAATCTACAGTATACACTCTGTGAAGCTATCGGGGTGGAGTTGGGCACTGATAAGCACAAGCCTATCACGTGTTGGCGATCATCCGCGTAGCTCCCTGTCGACCGACCGACAGACCGAGTTGTTCATACTTAAATAATTCACTCCGCTTTACCTCTCTATTCAGAAAGGCAGGCCCATTGCTGCTTGGTATGTGAATAGCTTCCCCTTTTGTTCTTATAACAATAGACTGACTCAATAGGTAGCTCTTATAATTTATCCACGCCATCTTTTCTTACTCTTCTCTCGCTCCGTCATGGATTCCTACAAACTGGCTGGGCTCATTGAACGCGCATGATGTGGCGCAAGCGCAAGGCCTCCTCACCCGCATCTTCAAACCCTGCAGAAAACGCCAGAAAGAAAAGGTGGACAGAAGCCTTTGTCATCTCGTCAAGTGACGACGAGAACGACCACGACGACGGATCCAGCTTAGACGAAGACGAATGGTACATTAACTGCATCCTTGACGAAACCGAATCACAATACCTTATTGACTGGGAGGGCCCCTGGTCACCGACTTGGGTGAGTTGGGCGAAGCGTCTGTCTGGAAACACTGGGCCCCTGGACACAAAGTGGTATTCGTCTAACCGGGGTACATACGGACAGGAACCTAAAGAAAACGCCAACGAAGCCGCGATTCAAGTGTGGGAAGAAAAGAAGAAGGCGACGAACAGGAGCCTATCGAGGAGCCGTCCCGCTAACCTATCGCCAGTCCATTTAACTGACTCCCACTCTGAAAATCGAAGCCCAGAGAGTCCCGGCCCTATTTTTGCGGAAAGCCGAATTGAGCCGTCGCGATCTGACGACCGTTCGCAGTCTCCATTGTTCGTACCGATTGACGAAAGCTTAGGGTCACCACATCTAGAGGAGAATACCAGGTCTTCCGAAGTGCATACAGTACTCGATCAGGCGCCGTCTTTCTCCCAGGAGTTGAATGGTTGCCCACCAGGTACTACTAAAGAAAACGACCACAGACCTCCTTTGTCAGTCACAACGCCAAAGCACTCCGTGGGTGTGTTTGAGTACATTACTAGATCCTCCATACCGTCCAGATATCGACTTCCTGGTTCTTCTGTGGAATCTAAGGTGGTTCCGAGTGTTATTCGCGCTACTCAGACTCCCTCCCAAACACTAGCTGGCAATCGAAACAAACCTGTGGACGAGATAGCGGAGACGCCACCCTCTCCGACACATATTCCAAAAAGCCAGGGTACCCGCGTCACCTCGGGTACAAAGAGTTCGGGTTCGCAGACATCGATTATCGCAATCAGTCAAAAATCTAACTCCCTCAGCCTAGCCTCTCAGTTCTTATCAAGTACTTCCCGGTCAGCAGGTTGTTGATTCCTCCTCACATTTCTCATTAATATATACCAGGCTAACAACTCCAGCATATTAGGAAGATCTTGTCTTGCCAGTAACACCCCTGTTACTTATCGTATAAGTTCCGTGCCAGAGACAGTCTTTTCACATCAGTCGCAGAACACAGGTCAATCGCTTGAACAAAGTTTAAACCCCAAACCAATACACTTGGAACGGAAAACCTGGGCATCTGAGGCCATCGAAGCCGTCGCAATGGACGACCCTACGAGAGACAGAGAAACGCCATCTCTGGCGGAGACCATGGAGAAATATAGCCAATTCGAGGGTTCAACGCCATTGGAAAAGATTCGAAATGCACATGCTCAAATACGTGCGAGGACCAACCCTGGAACTCCTTTGAATGCCGATGCTAGCGTCACTCCGTCCTCGGCTGGAGATATTGAGCCATCGCCTTCGTTGCTCGTACCCGAAATTACAGCACCTCTTAGCGTCAGAGTTGATAGAGAAGGCGCTCCACACGTAACTCACGCTGAGGGAGAATTGGATGCTCCCGGCTCGATAGTACGACCCACGGAAATGGGTCCTCCTCAACAACCTATTTTGCAGACAATCCAACCCAGCGCCCTGACAGTTAGCCATCAAGAGCAAGCGATGCCAGGCTCTGTCCACCTTGGGCCATCAGAATTTGCCGTGCCCCTCCCTATGGATTCAAGGGTCAAGGATGATTACGAACGGATATTGAAAGGCGACGCTCAAAGCATCGACGAGTATCTTAAGACGTTCGCGCTCCAGGCCGAAACATCCAGGATAGAGGTGAGTTCAATGCACCCTCAGCTTCGTTGATCAACATCTGACTGGTGAGCAGCAAGAGCGTCTGATTCCCAGAATGAACAGCTTACTGGAACATTTGAGCAATGCTTCAACCCACCCTGATCTGAATATTACCGAGCATATCAAAGACTCCGATTCGGACCTCGCAAAAGAGGCAGCGTGGGCTGAATATTCCAGCGCAAAGTTCTTGCTTCTGGGATACCTGATCAACAATGCTAGTAGTCGTGATCTACACTTGGTCATCATGGTACACGGAGCAAAGACTCTGAAGATAGTTGAGCGCTTTCTCATGGGGAAGGGCCTTTCGTACACGAGGCCTCGCCACGAGATGGGAATCGGGACGAATTTGGAAGTCTCCATGGTGAAAGGATCACTGAGTTTTGGGATCCAGTCAACAAGCGACGATGGCATTATGGAGACTTATAAACCCCCGGCTGCAATCATCGCACTTGACAGGTCCTTCAACCCAAAGAGTCCCTCGGTCGAACACATGCGAACAACCTATGCTCGACATGGGAACCTCCTCCCCGTGATTCGACTGATCGTCTCAAACTCCAGCGAGCATGTTCAGTTATGTTTTGCCAACTACCCAGAACCCCAGCGTCTACGCTTAGTGGTTCAATATACCTCGCGTCTCAGAGACGTGGTAGGCGATCTTCAGGATGATGCTCTAGGCGTACACGAAGATTCTGAGGAAATTATGTCGTGTCTTCTCTCGGACAATTTCAACACTCACTGGTCCTTACCTCCCATCGAGCCACTCCACATCGTAAGCTCTGAGGAGCTCAACTCTGCGCTAAGTACTTACCAGATCCAACCCGAAAGCGCGCTCTTCCCTACTCCGCAGATTCAAAAGCGCTTATTCGTTAGTCATTGTCCACCCTTTTTTTATGGCGAATTGGCCGGTTAACGTACTCTCAGCAGGTGGACGATACTACTGAACAGACACCTAAGAGGCCGAGGATGGACGAGTCTCAAGAAGCCAGTCAATTTACAGAAGCTTCAAAGGAATCCACGAAATTTCCCAGCCAAACATTGGATACTGATCTGCGGACTTTGGAGTCACATCTCGTGCAGTTGAAGACATCTCATGCCACTGAGCTTGAGAAACTCCAAAAAGCCTTGGCCGACGCACAATCTCGTCTACAGGAACGAGAGGGAGTTCTCTCATTGCTCCAACATCGCTATGAGAGTCGCACACAGGAATTACACAAAGTGCGGCAAGAGCGTGATCGCTTGGCGGAAAGCAAAGTTTTGTCTGAACAGAGGCTCGAGAAGCAGAAGGAAGACATTATAAAACTAAAGGATGAGCGCACTCAGTTGAGACATGAGCTCGAAAAGGCACGGGAAACTTTAAAGGCCGGGGGAGGAAGCATGGCAGAATTGGAAAAAGCGCAGGAGGAGATCCGTCGCCTGGCTAAAGACAATGCTTCCCTGGGGCGGAAAGCAGAATACGAAGCAAAGCAGGCGGAGTACACGCGTGAACAGTACCAGACAGCATCCAACGTGGCTGCGCAATCTGGGAACGAGATCCTTCAGCTCAAAGAGGAGAATGAGTCCCTCAAGCGCAGGGTTGCCGGCGATGCCAGCCGTCTCAGAGAACTCAACATTCAGAGTGATGAACAGCGACATCTTGCTCGCGTCAGAGAGTTGGAAGCCCTGCTTGCATCTCGCGAAGATCTTTTGCGCAGAAAGGAGGATGAGCTGCGAGAATTTCGAAAGAACCGACCTTCCACCAGATCAACAAGCACGCAGCCACGAAGCCCGAAGTGGACAGCGGCAAATAGCCGTCCAACCAGCCCGGGGATCAATAATCACAACGGTTCCGGTTTCTCGGGACGAGGCAGTGGATTGCGGTTTAGCTCTGAGGTGCCTCTTTAACCAAGATCCTGGGTGTCATAGTCCCTATACAATTTGCTATTTGCCGCATTGCGAATTTCATTCGTATCTAATGTTGATGATCGAAATTGCATTCCCATGCATCTCAAGGCTACATGACTGACTATTCCTCCACATAAGGTCACTTCGTGATTCTCTACTACGGATCGTAACGACCTCGCATACTCGGGCGTTCTGGTTTTTTTTTTTTTTTTTTTTTTTTTTTTTTTTTTTTGGGTGATGTTGTCTGGTTGTCTGAGATTGTCGTCCTTCGTGGTATGTGTGATCTTTTTGGTGTGGATGAGTTGTTGATAGGGAGGGGGGGAGTTGTTGGGTGGGGTTTCTTATAAAAATCAAAGAGGAGACGAGAGTGGGGGGAAGGTGGTAAGAGGAATGGGGCGTGGGAATATTAGCGGGGGGGTGTGGGAGGGGTGCG